TCAATTGTTGGGCAGGGAGATTTGCACATTTTCTTGACCGACAGTGCGTCATGTTCACCAGGAGATGTAGCAGAATGTGCGCAGATACTTGCCTCTGGAGGTGCACTTCCTGTTTGGAGCGAATCGAATTCAGTGCTATTTGGCTGATAGGTCATCCGTGGCTGAATCCCCGCTGCTGGCGACACCTACCAGAGGTGTGACCCTGGGCCAGATCAATGTGACACAATTTTTTAAAAAAATACTGTGTGACACAAAGTAATAGATGTAATAGTGATCTAGGAAAAGGAATCGCTTTCAAGGTGAAAGACAGGACAAATGATAAGTACGGAAGAGAAATGGTTTTTCAAGCATGCAGGTTACAGGACAAAGTTCTTGTAGTACCTCATCTTCGGAGATCTTCGGGTCTTCTTGAGATGCTTTGACTGCATAGGTGCATCGGCAGAAAGATCAGAAAGTGTGCCTGCCGAGCTTGACTGAATGTATTTTCTCCTTGCAGTTGGTTCAGACAGGTTCATGAAACCGCTGAAGTGGCAGCCGCTGAAGGTACTTTATGTACTTTTGCAATCTGATGAATATACACATCTTACACTAGTCTTCATGCCTTTCATCAATCTGTTTGTTTCGCTGGTATCTAAGCCCAAAGTATTTTTCAGCCAGGAGCAGGAAAGTGCCGCCGAAGAAGCAAGACGAGCTGAAGAGGACCTCTGATACCTCTGGAACTGATTCATCCAACATCATCCAACTGTATCAGAAGATGACCATGTACTATAGTCATGACTATAGTATCATCTTGTATCTCCGTATTATCTCCGTATACTTGGGCAACAGGAAGCTGAAGCAAAAGCGGAGCAGTCGGCGCCTTTCGTGATATTTTGAGCACTAGCTGCAGTCGGATATGATCGCAGCGACGAGATTTGTTTGATACATTGGAAAGAGTTGAAAGACATGAAGACATGAAGACACAAAGCGAGTCAGATCACAAAGTAAAAGGATGTAATCATCTAAGTGCACTTGGAACATTTCTTGGCTACGATAATTTTGAAGATAGGACTGTCAGGAATGGAAGTTTGGCTTCGCCCCACTCGGAACATATTGCAAGATATTGCAAGTCATATATGAATCATTCTATGATCACTGAAAGGGTGACTGTCATGAATTCTGATTCTGGTACGGCAGTGGGAGATTGTTCAACACATGAGGTTGCTGCTTGAAGAGCAAAAAGAAGAGGAGGCGCAAATTCAGCAACTAATAGGAAGTCCTTGATTTGTCCAGTACTTTTCCATCCAAATCATTGAATGTGCTTGATAGATTCGATAGGATATTGATAATATTGATAGATATTTCAAATTTATTTCTATACTAACTTGTAAAATCTTGTAAATATGTTTTAAACATTGTAATGTTACAATGTTCATGTTCACATCATTTTTCACAAGTCGTTTCCCCTGTGTCCCAGGAGATCCGGATGGCCCGAATGGCCCAGCTGCATGGTGTGGGGATGCCTAGCATTGCCTGCCAGCGCCCAGGAGTCCAGGAGGGCCGTGAGCCAAGGCAGAGATAGACATCGACCCAACAACTGGAATCGGTGCTCCTGCCACATTTCGATCATTTCGGCACCGCGTGCAGTGCAGTGTGACACCGACACCATCATCTGTGTTGCTGATTGTGTTTTGCACAGAGTGGAGATGATTCGTTTTTTGGGCTTTTGATGTTATAAGACAGGTGTTACAATCGCTGGGGCACTTGCCATCATTTGGAGGAGCCAGCATTCAGCAAAAAAGACTGCGCTGCAAACCTTCAACTCAGTGAGTTTGCAAGAGAAGAACCTTCAAAATCGATCCTAAAAGACACAGCCACTGGTGCTCAACGTTTGTCAGACATCCTGGCAGGAGGCATAATTTCTTTCGATGAAATCCATTCGAAGGCACGAACCTATGATTTTCCATGGCTTGCAGGTCTAGGATGGTTCAGGAAGATGCCAAAGCTCAAGTACAGCAGTCGTCACTTTTGAGTCCATGGTACAATTACGATCAATTACGTACTAACCCATTGCAAGGAATCTATGTCTGGCTATGATGGCAGTTCCCAATTGGGGCAGGCTTTGAAAATTGATACGTGCTCTGATACAGGATCAAACAGGGAAGATGGCAAGCACCACAACTCCCTCCAAAGAATGACAAATTCGCGCGCAGTGTCGACAGTCACGCTGCGGAGCTCTTGACAAAGCATCAACAGCAGATAGTGACGGATAGTGCTGCTCGTGCAAGGTCAAGAGTCTTGCATTATTCTGAGTTACTTACCAGCTGGTTCTGTGTCAGAGCAAAACTTTTTTTTGTCAGTGCCATCTCTCATTTTTGTTGTTTTCTGTCATGTACCTTTTTTTGACATTTGGGGGTTGACGTTTTTTGTATTTATTTGTCATTTGTTTGTCATGTTTCTGTATATTTCTTTGTCATTTTGCTGTCATGTCTCGTTTTCTTTGCAGCCCGCCATTTGCGGCAGAGCCTAAAGATGTCGAAAAAAGTACTTTTCGAATCTTTTCGATACTTTTCCTCGTTTTTTGGGCCATGTTTTGGTCATTTTTTCCCAGCGCTTCAAGAGGACAGGTTTACCGAGTACGTTGTCACAAAGGCTATATTTGGCTGGAAGGCTAGCATTGGTCAATCTCACATAAAATACCTGAAAAGTGATGACATGTCGGAATAGACAGACACTCGTCCTAACTATACAGGTTGCATCCCTGATCTGTGCAGGGGTTAACCTCTTTTAATCTCTTTTATCTATTCAATATATTCAATGGCCAGCCTTGCGATTGCTGTAGCCAGTGCAACCTGTACCTGTAATTACCATCTTCTACCTCTCAACTTGTAACTTGCAACTAGCTCCAAAATTATTCTGTGAAAGGATCAATTTGTGTCAGTTTATTTTGGTCAAATTTTGGTATTGTTCAGGCAGTTGATTGCCTTTTCACCAGCCTTGTGGATAGGATCAACAGCCATCCCGAAAACAAGGAAACTTCGCCTAGTGTCTTTGTGCAAGCGACTGCACAGGACATCGGACAAACAGAAATTACCAAGACTTTGCAGCTAATGAAAGAATCACAAAAACAGTATGAATTCCAACGCATTCTTGATGTTTTTTTTCACGGGCTTTCCGCGGGCTTTCCACGGCCTTGATGGAAGCCAAAGGTTTAAACACAAAACGCAATTTTTGCCGTCCAAACTGCGATTTTCAGCCTTCACACGGCGATGTTGCATGTTTTTTTTGACTGTGGATGGATGGATGGTGCAGACCCTCCAAAACAATTTTGCGCATTCAACAGAAGCCTGATCATCAACTCAAGATGCCCCGTGTGACATCCCCTTATCCCAGATTCGTCAAGCTTCAGTTTTCGAAGCAAAGTATCATGCTCGAACTGTGTAAAGAAAAAAAACTTAAATGATCTTAAATGCTACAGGCAGGTTCCTGGTTCAATGTGGTGGTGGTGTTTTAAACTACGCTGGAAATATGGACAGCTGCACTGATTTTATGTGGACATTACCTTGGGGGAAAATCTGAGGGAGAGACGCGTGTATGTCAAACTTGGGGCGGTCGTGACACTGCTAAAAATCTACCATCTTACCAATTGCGGATTTTCTGAGATACAGCGCTGTGAACTTCTAAAATGAAACCATTTTCACAAAGGCTAGAATTTAACCTATAGCTGTTGTGAAAGGCTAGAATTTTTAAGCACTTGGACAAAGCATCAACAGCGGATAGTGACGGATAGTGCTGCTCGTGGAAGGTCAATAGTCTTGCAATAACAGTTACTTACCAGCAGGTGCTGTGTCAGAGAAAAACGTTTTTTTTGTCATTGCCTTTTGTCGGTTTTTGTCGTTTTCTGTCATGTACAATTTTTTGTCATTTGGGGTTGTCGTTTTTTGTTGTTTTCTGTCATTCATGTCTTGTTTTCTTTGCAGCCCGGCATTTGCGGCAGAGCCTGAAGATGTCGAAAAAAACGGACTTTTGCTCGAGTTTTTGGTAATTGTTTCGTCATTTTTCTGTAATTTTTTCAATTTTCCGTTTTTTTGGAGCCTGGCATTTGCGGCACGCAAAAATGACAGAAAAAAATGAATTACACACAAATTTAAACAAATACAGAAACATGACACACCCAGATGACAAAAAATGGTTAAACCCAAACGAAAACAAACATGACAAAAATGACAGAAAAATGCAAAATACATCAAAATATATCAAAATACTCATTTCAGGATTTCCAGGTTCTGCTGTCCCAGGTAACTCATAGGTCTTGCATGGCGTTTAGAATCGTCAGAGTGTACAGGAATTATTTTGATTGTATTTTGCAATTTGAGAGAAGCTGGCTTTCGCTTGTCCAGAAAGATTAGATCCAGCCACCTCCATAGTAGGCCAGAGGAAAATGACTGGAAATTGCTGGAAGCTGTGCGTTTGCTTGGTTTCTACCCTCAGAGTCTTTGTCAGAGATTTGTGGTTTAGACATGTCTTAGCTATGTACGAAGATCATACAAAATCATACAAAATCACTGCCTCCTCGAGACTCTGTGTATTCACGTGGATTTTCTTGTCATCCCTTGTAACAGGCAAGACTTGGCTACTCATAAAACAAGGTCTTCCAACCTCTGCCAGTTTGCCATCACTCCATTCTGATGACCTGGGCGAAGCTTGGCTCCCGGCCTTCGACCAACAATGACCAGCAATATGTCAGATGGAAATTTGCTGAAAATCGACTGATAATCTGTGTGCTCCAGCTACTCCTTCAACTTTTAGTGGGACGCATGCCAGATTCAAAAGGACTCTCAGCCCCCAGCCAAACCACCTACAATATTTGTGGAATATTTGTGGAGCAGTTCTCTTGATGCTGAAAAATGCACTATGAAGCAATATGGTTCGAACACATTTTGCAAGGACTTTTTCCGTCTGAGAGTTTAAGATGTTCCGAGAACAGGCTGCAAAACCATAGCCATAGGCCATAGGTGAGTTCAACGTGTCCACTAGCTTGCCCTTTGCAATGGCGAGCAGGAGCTTTGGTTATTCTTGATCATTTTCCGCACATCAACTGAACTCGATTCGCACTACGTTCCTAGACGGTATTTCCAAGTGATTTCTTGGTGAACAAGTACAGCCATTGAGCAGCATGACATCCAGGAGACGCCTTGGATTTCCTTTGCACAGCTCGGCTTGGTTCTTATCTTCACAAGCAGAGTTGATTGGACAACGGCAGGATGCATTAGGAAAGTGAGAAAGGCTACTAGGTCGCGAGGGAATGAAATGGATCAAGTCGAGACGGAGACGGTTGACTTCAGCGTTTCAAGGAGTTTCAATCAATGGGGGTGACGGATGAGTCAAGCAACTCTGTATCAAGACAATTCAAAACAGATCATTAAGGTCATTAAGATCCATTAAGCGACATTAATCAACATTTAAACAACGTATTTATTTGGGGCAATGAAGGAATCTATCCATATCCATCACACCATTTCTGCTGTGTCACCCACAGGTCGCCTTGGTGGCCTTGGTGGCCTTGGCACTGGGATGCTTCGCATCCAGGGTTTTCGTTCAGGCGGACAATTTTGGGTGTGACCAGTGTGACCCTGAAAGGTCAGTTGGAAGATCTTTGAATAGGTTAGAATGACTTAGGATTTATGAACATGTTAGAATATAATATATGCCCGGAATGGTTGACATGAGAATTGAAATTGATAGTGGGATGTTGATGGATTCTTGGCATTCCAGCTCAGCTTGTAGCACATCAGTCAAGAGCCATTAATTAGAGCCATTCATGAGCAACAATCAATTGACAGGACAACCCCAACCTTTAAGTTCTCAAAGTTTCCAGCAACACGCAAGGATGGTATCACTCTCTCGCTTTCTTTCCAAGTAGAGAAAAGACTGGCACCGTACTCCACGCATATAATATAGAGGACGCCTAGCACAGGCCCCTTTTGTACAGGAACCAAAAAAAGTATTTGATGGACTTTCATCAAGCACAATACGGCATCCCCCGAAACTTGCTGAACCATGACTTTCTTGAGATCATAGAAGCTGCCCATGTCTTCCTCAGTTGCCATGGCCCTGCGTCGAATGCGAATTTTTGCCCAGCAAGTGCAGGGCAAAGGGAACGCGTGCAAGAGGCGCAATGAATGGCAGGATAAGATTCTGGAATACTTCTAGAATGATGTTTCTTCATATCTGTTCACTTTTCATGTCTATATAATAGTTTTCTCTTCAGGACACTGGCTTCAACACTGTGGGCTTTTTTTGAGGTCTTTGCGCAGCGTGGCGACAAGTTCCAGCATCTCAGATCCGCAGGCGCGAATATCATCGAATATCATCTTGTTGTGCTGACAATTGTAGAAGGAAGAAACATTGGACATCACCCTGAGTTCCGTTGCTTTCGGTCGTCTTTGTTCCTACCTGGGTTGAAGTTAGATTTTCACTGCAAACAATTGGCGCAACACTGTACCCCTATAGATTCTACATGATTCTACTAACAGGAGGACCGATTCTACTAACAGGAGGACCGGGCAGCATGGCCCCTCTTGAGAGTCGAGCAATCCGAGGCATACAAGCTCCCATCAAGCGGATCCCATATAGGTCCAGTCGGCGAGGTCAGAAGCCCAGAGACCGGGGAGAGACGACATGAGACGACTCTTGTGAAAGGAGGAAGGTATTGAGAAAAACCTCAGGGAAATCAAGCATGCTCTCGAAGAACATTCACAAGGTCACTAATTACTTTCTGATGCTGCAGACTGGCTGGTATCTACCGGTATACCATACTGTTCTACAACAACTCCCCATGTTTATGGGGCACTAAAACCTTTCCAAATTTCATTATGCATTGCATGCATTTTTGATCATTTTTGTGTCTTGCTGGGAACAGGTTGTTTGGGCTTCTGAAATTGTAGCAAATGAGCGTTGCGATTCAATCCGAAACTAGCTATTCCTGCCTTGTATATGGGCTTATGGAGGAGTCGGGTGATAACATGAAATATAGAAGGTGAGCCTTCCGCAGACACAAACGGTTGGAATTGTTGAATAGCGCTGGAAATTTCATGATACACAGACGAAGCCGCGCCAGCCATGGATATATCAATATAGAATCAAAAGAAGAGAATGAATTGAATGAATGTGAAGTACATGAAGATCGTGAAGTTTCAACATTTCCAGCAGGCTGTGCTTCCACAACTCTTTGTTCCTTTCCTTGTCTTTCCTGGGTGATGAACAGCCCGCAATTCCGCACCACTGACAGGCTCGGATCAAGCTTTCGGATTTGGATTGGAAGACAAGACTTTCATCAAATCAGTGTCTCGTCATATTCTGGCCATCAATGCAACGGCAATCAAAGACACCAGGTTTCAGACATGCTGCAGTGGGGGAGACCCTTTGATTCCTATGATTGATGAGAATCCGAGGTATTTGGTTCTGCGGCAAAAGGCAACAGAGCCAGGATAAACGTTTTTGACATGCTATGTTGGTGGTGTTCAGCCTGAATCTCTTTGAATCTCTTTGAAACAATTTGTCACGGTGGCATAGCTCCATGTCACGATGTATCAGAACAAAATAGCCTGGCTGCAAGGACACCGCTTATTATTCCCAGATGGTTTTGATGATCATGTTGAAGAAGGCAACGCGTCCATGATGACTTGGCCGTTTGTTCATTCTAAGATGGCCATCAAATTATGTTGTGATTGCGAGGGCTTGATAGATTTGATAGCACGCCTCATTCATCTTGGTGTCTCATCTCTCACTATGGGATAAGGTGTATACTTCTGCGCTGGGTGTTTAGCAGCTGGAAAGAAGCAGCCGCTGTGACTTGTCCGGAACTGGACTATTCCTCTGTAGACACTTTAGGTGCAACCGGAGTGAAAACAATGTTTTTTGATGTTCATTTCGGCATGCGTTGTACTACTCATTTGCCAATGTTTGTCTACATTCCATGAAGAAAACAAGAGCCACCCCTGGGTGAGCAAGTGCACGCGTGGCAGCAAACGGAGACTGTCGTTCTTCGGCTCCTTCTGACGCGCTGTTACTAGATTGTCTTGCTTTGTTGGGGCAAAGCAGAATGGAGCCGTCCGCGAGCAAGGTATACTAGTGAAATGAAGTTCGATTGTGGCTGTGGTTGGCCAGGATTTTGGACGAATGCCCCTCGGCCACATTGAGATGATGTCGTGTGACCAGTTTCATCCAGTTTGTAATCTGCAAACCTCGAAGGCAATCCGTCCCTCAGGTCACCAACAATGTCTTTGAGCTGCAAGATGCAGACGGACACCGCAACTTGCACCAAAAGAGGCTCTAAGTATCTCATCCTTCACAGATGTCAAGGACCCACGTAGTGTGTTTTGACGCGTTTTGACACTGTTCCCTGAAGTTTCATTCCAATTGCATGGATACCATCCTGCTTGAAGCGGCATTGCTTGCAAGTCAACGCGTATCAGCTCTGGACACATGCACTTCTGAGGTTGTGAGATTTTGTGTTCGAGCTGTCATGGACATTTGGGACATGTTTTCCGTGGAGAAGGTTTTGGTTTCCCCACAGATGAGCGCCATTGCGTGAATTCCATGAGTGCCTTTGCCGCCTTGGTGGGATGATCCAACTGATAGCCACTGAAGGTCACAATCTTTGCAGTCCGTTTCTTTGAGCCCAGGTTTGGCCTTCATGCCCAAAGGTAGCGAAGAAACCGTTCTTCCGACCTATCAGGGACCAGTTTTCGGTTTCTGAGTCCTCCACTTGGAATCGTTTCGGCCGCTGTTGGCCCTGAGAAAAGTGCGTCAAAGCTTGAGGGAGCAGAATGATGCTCGGATGCTCAACATAGGACTTCAGATCTAGTCATAGGACATCAAAGGTTGCAGCAAGTGGCTGGCCATGAACAATGGTTAACATGGCTATATAACCTAACGTTTAAAATCTTGTTGATTCCGCACAGGCTTTCGGGAGTCGGCGGGATCGAGCCCGTGTTTTCCGAAGGCCTGAAACTGCCAGTGGGCAAGTTGCTACAGGTTGGTTCCCTCATGAACACCTTTGTACACGTACTAGTAGGAAACCACAGTAGCCCTTCAATCACATTTTTGTTCTAGGGCCTAGAGCTGAGCAGACGATGCAAGGACTCAATGCAGGGGGCATTTCCAGGCCATTTCCATTCAATGTGTAGGTTTGAAATGACATAACAGATATATGATATGACAGCTCAAATCATGACCTCTGATGCATCAAATGTATTCAAATGTCAGGGCCGAAGAGGCGGCAGAGGAAGAACAGGTGCTGGTGATCGCTGTCATTTCAGATCCTGATGCGTTGAGATCTCAATGACCCCGGAAATCAAGTGCTTTCAAGGGGAGGAATATGAAGCCATATAGATATTATACGTATATGGATATTGGATATTGGATGCTATAGGTTGCATGATTGGTCGAAGTTGGTCCAAAGCAGGACACAACGAACCTCGAGCTCTTCCGACAGTCCCTCATTCAAGGTGCGCAATTCAACGAAAACGCTGGGTGCAGAGATTTGGCAACAGGCCGTATTAGGTCTCAATGGATTTTGCGGACATGCCATGCTGCAAGCCCCCGATCTGGGGATTGGTTGATCTTCAACAATGTTTTTCCCACTCAGCCAATCTCAGCCATCATGCCTAAAGCAGCTGGTTGTTTTTTGGAATGGCAATGAAGGATGGGGCGCTGGAGAGATTGGACGCTCATCAGGCTGGGTTCACAGGCCTTTCTTCATGCAGATTCTGAGAAGTGAAGCACTGGCAGATTCAGCTGACTGGGCGGAGCTTGTAGAGCCGGTATCAAACTCAGAAATCTTTGCCAGTCGCACTTGTCAGTTGCATATGCTGCATAGTTTCATCCCACAATCACAGAACATCACAGAACTATGTAATAAACTGGTGCCAAGGCAGCCGTTCGGGCTGGAGACATTTTGCTAGGAGATCCTGCCAGGTGCAGTCTTTGTGCTTCGTGGCAAGCTATTTAGCTATTTGTTTCTAGCTCGAGTGTTGCGAACCTCTGAGCAACAAACAAATCCCATCCTACACAGATTACATAGTCAGCTTTTCAACCTGGAGAAACAATCGATCAATTTGTGAACGTGGAGAGACGTTTAGCATCGTTTAGCCATTTGGATCCATTTGGTAGGTTCTTCAGTGAACAAACTTCGCCGGCGTTTCGACGGATCGGATTACAGGCAGTTGAAGTGTTCAGAATCTCGAGCTGGAGATGTTGTGCAACGCACTGCGGAAGCATTGTTTGAACATGTCTGAATGAACTGTATTGTTGATTTGTCACCTGACACCTAAGATTCTACATGCAATTTTTGCGTTATATTCACTACATTATCTGCAAAGTGTTTCCCTCCCATTCTGTTTGGTCCAGGGTGGTATACCAGCTGACTACCCACGGCGTGAGCGCCTGGACAGCCTGGCAGGTTTAGCCGTGAGTGTTGGATGTTGTTTTTGACGCATGTGCAATGATGCCGACAGAGATACTGATACAGATGCTGATAGACATTTTGCATAGTGGCACTATGTTGCACTATGTTCCACTACATACTTCTCAAAGGTTTCTGTGTCACTGGACTTGGCAGCGCTATTTGCCGGTCCTTCTCCTCACGGAAGTAGACAAGGACAGCGTGTCGTTGGGGGATGCAGTCGGAGTCGTAGGCGGGATGACTTGAGCTTCCCAGGATGCTGGGACGGCGAAAGGAGTCGCTTGGCGTGCAATGACTAAAAGCGAAGCAAATCCTAATATGATTCTACATACATCTACAAATAAGATTCTAATAGATTCTACAAATATTCTACAAGTGCTTTTACCAGCCACAGTGTGATTAGAGAGTGTCAATGCTTTTGAAGCACATCCAAATTGAAAACCTTTCTTGCAGTGTTCGATTCTTGAGACCATTGTCCTTACTCAGTGGTCCGAACTGAAGGTCTGGTTGACCTTGCGCACTGGTCAGCTTCTAGGCGCCATGAGCACTTTGAAACAGTTGGATCAAGTTGCAGCAGGCATTTGGGATATTTGGGCTGTGTTTAGCACCACTGCATCGGCCAGGCGACTTCATCAATTTTTTCCATAGCAGGTCAGCACCTTCAAGGACACCATAGGACACCAATAGCACCAGAATCCAGAGTCAGTGCAGGTAAATTCCTTCAGAAACTTGACAGATTCCAACAGATTGGAATTGTGGCGGAAAGCATCAGAAAGCGATTCCACACTGATTTCATATTTCCGGCTGTGTTGTTCTCAACCACAATGTGTTTCCATTTTGAGCTCGAGATTTTGCTGCTTTGGCAATCTAGGCCCTTGCTGTACGGGGGCCCAACACAATCAAACAGCAAGATCCTCAAGACTCAAGACAGTCCTGCTGTTTGCTTTGTGTCACAAAGTCGCATTGCCCACCAGTGTAGAAAAAAAGTAGGATGCGGCAGAGCAGAGGTGACAAAAGTCAAGAGGGTTTTGAATAACATTCTTTCATCCTGACGAGGTGTAACTATGGTACATCCTTACCCGGAGGCCAGGCAGTAGAAGAGTATAGCTGGGTTTGCGCTGGCGGTGAGGGCAGCAGCACACGCATAGCAAGCACATTTCTGGAATTGAGCGATAATGGTCAAGTATGCAGGTGGGCACCGGTGGGCACGAATCTATGTAAAGAGGATACAATCTTGATGTCAACGTTGTTTGTTGATGTTGTATAATGTATATTCACATTATTTGAACTGCCACATGGGTTTGGCGGTGCAGGTGCCAGGAAGCAAATTGCTTTCCGAAGGCCTTTACGTGGGCGGATCCTTTGAAGGTGCACAGGCCGGGGCGTTCAGCATGGCATGGTCACATATGGTCACTACCCTTGGTGATTTGGGATGGCTTGGGCGGCTTGGGATGTTGCTGGGAGGCCTGGGTGGAAGAAGGTGAAGGTTCCTCTTTGCGAATCCGCTTCTTCCTGAACCATATCCAATGGCGACAAGGCTCTGTCAAAGAGCCTTCTAGCTGCCCCAAGATGGACTGATAAACATGCAGAGTGTGCACGACTGTCATGACTCATGGCTAGACCAGACATCAACCCCCAGACAAGTAACACGGAAGCAGCAACGATGCCCCGCGTTGAATTCAGGTGAACTGGCTGCTGAACTTGCACCTGGTGAGAATACCTGGTTGCCAGTGCCAGATTCCCAAAGACACTGGAAATCAAGACTCAATTTGTCAATGCCGTATGGATTCAACCAGATCCTTCAAAAATACCAGATCAAACACACCATGATAGTTCAAGATCAACCAAGGAGATGTTCAGTGGATGTGGTCCTCTCAGAGGTTCAGCCTGGCTTCAGTAGTTTTGTTGAGGGTTTTTTAGAGCAGCATAGCTAGCATAGCCAGTTTCTTCATATTGGCTAGATTTGTACCTTGATTCGATGGCTTTGGCTCGACGTTTCAGGTCACATAGACGATTGAGATCGATTGAAGCTTAGAATGATCATCCACCATCGTGCACTTTCTTTGGGACCCGCTTTGAATGTAGAGATCGAGATTTTGAATTCAAATCATAAAACCTTTGAAACTGTATTTCAAGGTGGTAAAAAAACTCACCACAAATTGGGACCATTGGGACCATTGGGACCGGTGGGGCCCAGCCAAAGACTTGTGATGCTTAGCCTTGCAGACCGACGAGATTGATGCAAAGCCCCTGTGGGTAAAGGCACATCTGCCGGGAAAATGTTGAGACTTTGTCAGGCATGTGGAATATAATTGGTGCATATTGGTGCATTGCTTCGCAAAGTCATGTCAAATTTTGTGCCAGCAGACAAGAGATGCACAGTGCCAAGCAATGAGAACCTTTGACATTTACATGGTACGCATTTGTCCAGGTTTGTTGTTGCTTTATACATTTGACAACCCAGCTCTTGCACTGCTAGGCTTGAAAGAAATGGGAGAATGCTCTGAAATGGATTTGGACTCTTTTTTTTCTGCCGGATGATACTCCTTGATTTGAACTTGTACCAATAGGACTGTAGGACCTTGACTTGAATAGCAGTTGCAAGTGGATGGAGCTGGATATCAGGTGGCAGAACTGGCAGGTGGGAAGCTTGAAGAGCTAGGACAGGTTGCCTGGGTTGCAACTCTGATCAACGGCCTTAAGATCTTGAAGATCCAGGTAACCGTAGAAAACCTATTCTTATTCTGTTTGTGGGTTGATACAAAACGACCTAAATGTTCAATGGGATCCAACTATAGGCCCTATAGGCACTACATTACTACTTTTTGTGATACTTTGAGTAGACTGCTGAAGATCACAACGACCAGTGACCATCCCACTATCCGCTCCCTACTTTTTCCCATGTTGCGATGCCGTGGCGAATCTTGGAGGACGGGCTCATGATTTGATGTGAATCCTGACCGCCACAAGATGCACAGGATTAAAAGGATCAATTGCACCAGTCAGATTTCCATTATGTTCCATTGATTCAGCACGATTCAACACCAGCCGATTCCTCCCAAGTTCTGTTTTTTTTTCTTTTTTAAGGAGTCGTTGCCGAAGCAGGTGTTTCTTTTGTGCCCTTGGTCATTCATCACTTTGGGAGGATTGGGAGGTTTGCATTTTGATGCAAGTTGAATTGACACTGCCAAATCTGAACATGTATTGTCACAGCTGGCTGACAGCTTCTGTACTGTACATAATTACTCTCCACCCACCACAAGCTCTCGGAATGAAAGAACACACTGTAGTCATAAAACTAAGCTCTGTTCGCTGCAGGACGCTACTGATGTTTAGAAGCTTAGATTTGTATCACTATGTAGCATGCTCTCAACTACTGTGCAGCAAGGTTTCGACGTAATTATTAAACATTGCAACTTTTGCATCCTTTGAATCGGTTGTGATAATTTGTGGATAGACCTGGAGAGACATGGATAGACGATTTACTAGTTTGACATTTTGTGAAAACACGAGATCTCGCTCTTCTTGCCGCTTCTTGCTCCAAGTTTGCCATGGCTACGTGTGGAGTGGCTCCAGGGCCAAGCGCCCACAGCTGCTCATCGAGATGCCATTGCTCAGGCCTATCTTAATAAAAATTGAATCTCTATGATTCTACTGTATATAAGGGCTGCCGCCCCTGCCGCCGACCCCGGTAAAGAATCGGGGATTGCTGGTGGCCATAAAACGATGTGGGAAAATACGATGATCAACTCTATTTTTTTGGACTTTGCAACTGTTCGAGAAAATTAAACAATATCTGACAAAATATACCTGACGCAGATGACTTCTAGGCCTTGGGCAGATGCCGCAGTGTTCCAATTTCTTCAATGGCTGGTGAAACAGGCAAGAGCCGTGTGACGAGAAATTTTGGCAAATGCATCATCACATGCAGGATCATGCACGAAGGGCTATTATGTCAGTAACTGGTGCAGCTTTCGGATAAATTGCAGTTAGGTGCTGGCTGCATGACGAGACAGTTGATAAGAAGCTGGCTCTGAACCCAACAACACATCTATGTGCATTTGGGCCGAGAGACATAAGACCAAATTGCCAAAAGCTATCATGACAAGAAAGCTTCAGCTTAGTTGGTGCCATAAGATAGCTACACAACTTTTTTCTGGATTGAAGCTATTCTATAAAATGCATAGCCCTTATCATTTTTCCACCTTTTTAAGAGCTGCTGGCTGCTGCTAGCTGGCTGCTAGCTGCTGCACTGCTGCCGCTGCTCTTACTGCTACTGCTGCTGCTGGACTTACTGCTGCCGCTGCTACTGCCACGGCCGCTGCTCTGGCTGCTGCTGCAGCTCCCGGCAGCAAAACACCATGGCCCTACAGGACGAACCGAGTCCAAAATATACGTTTCCCGGGGCCGGAACGTCCCTTCTGAAATCCTACAAAAAGTTTGCTGTTGGTGCGGAAATTATCAGTTTTTGTTGCTTCAGTTTTTTTACCTTTTTAAGAGCTGCTGGCTGCTGCTAGCTGGCTGCTAGCTGCTGCACTGCTGCCGCTGCTCTTACTGCTACTGCTGCTGCTGGACTCACTGCTGCCGCTGCTACTGCCACGGCCGCTGCTCTGGCTGCTGCTGCAGCTCCCGGCAGCAAAACACCATGGCCCTAAAGGACGAACCGAATCCAAAATATACGTTTCCCGGGGCGGAACGTCCCTTCTCTGAAATCCTGCAAAAAGTTTGTTGCTGGTGCGGAAATTATCAGCTTTTTACATTTTTAAGCGCTGCTGGCTGCTGCTAGCTGGCTGCTAGCTGCTGCACTGCCACGGCCGCTGCTCTGGCTGTTGCCGCAGCTCCCGGCAGCAAAACACCATGGCCCGAAAGCACGAAGCGAGTCCAAAATATACGTTTTCCGGGGCCGGAACGTCCCTTCTGAAATCTTACATTTAAAAGCTCGCTGCTGCTACGGAAATTATCATCGTTTTTACATTTTTAAGAGTTGCTGGCTGCTGCTAGCTGGCTGCTAGCTGCTGCACTGCTGCTGCTGCTCTTACTGCTACTGCTGCTGCTGGGCTCACTGCTGCCGCTGCTACTGCCACGGCCGCTGCTCTGGCTGCTGCTGCAGCTCCCGGCAGCAAAACACCATGGCCCTAAAGGACGAACCGAATCCAAAATATACGTTTCCCGGGGCCGGAACGTCCCTTCTGAAATCTTACAAAAAGCTTGCTGCTGGTGCAGAAATAATTAGTTTTTTACATTTTTAAGAGCTTCTGACTGCTGCTAGCTGGCTGCTAGCTGCTGCACTGCTGCCGCTGCTCTTACTGCTACTGCTGCTGCTGGACTCACAGCTGCCGCTGCTACTGCCACGGCCGCTGCTGCAGCTCCCGGCAGCAAAACACCATGGCCCTAAAGGACGAAGCGAGTCCAAAATATATGTTTTCCAGGGCTGGAACGTCCCTTCTGAAATCTTACAAAAAGCTTGCTGCTGGTGCGGAAATATCAATTTTTACCTTTTTAAGAGCTGCTGGCTGCTGCTAGCTGGCTGCTAGCTGCTGCACTGCTGCCGCTGCTCTTACTGCTACTGCTGCTGCTGCTGGACTCACTGCTGCCGCTGCTACTGCCACGGCCGCTGCTCTGGCTGCTGCTGCAGCTCCCGGCAGCAAAACACCATGGCCCTAAAGGACGAAGCGAGTCCAAAATATGCGTTTCCCGAGGCTGGAATGGTGCGGAAATTATCAGTTTTTTTCCTTTTTAAGAGCTGCTGGCTGCTGCTAGCTGCTGCACTGCTGCCGCTGCTCTTCCTGCTACTGCTGCTGCTGCTGGGCGCACTGCTGCCGCTGCTACTGCCGCGGCCGCTGCTCTGGCTGCTGCTGCAGCTCCCGGCAGCAAAACACCATGGCCCTAAAGGACGAAGCGAATCCAAAATATACGTTTCCCGGGGCCGGAACGTCCCTTCTGAAATCCTACAAAAAGCTTGCTGCTGGTGCGGAAATATCAGTTTTTACCTTTTTAAGAGCTGCTGGCTGCTGCTAGCGGCTGCACTGCTGCCGCTGCTCTTACTGCTACTGCTGCTGCTGGACTCGCTGCTGCCACTGCTACTGCCACGGCCGCTGCTTTGGCTGCTGCTGCAGCTCCCGGCGGCAAAACACATGGCCCTAAAGGACGAAGCGAGTCCAAAATCCGCCCACACCGCTTTGGCGGTGAAGGCGTGCTTATTGGGGGGCAACAGCAACACTAAATGCTCAATGACATTTGTTAATATTGCAGTCGCTATATCAGCTTTAGCTGGGGGGGGGGTGGCCCAAAAACGGTTTCGCACCGAGACCAGACCCCAAAAACGGTTTCGCACCGAGACCAGAATACGGTTGTGTTTTCGTCATTTTTCGGGTGTCTGAGCGCAAGAGGGTATTGAAATGGAATTTTGGGTCATTTTGGTAGCTTTCCGGCAATGGAAAAACGGCCAAAAATGAAAAAAACATTGTACATAGCAAGATTTTGCAGGGTTTTTGGATGCCAGAGCATTGAAAACACTGCAAAAACAAGTGTTTTGGACTGACGTTATAGCAAAAAACGTGTAAATTACCGTATGCTTGACTGGAAACATTACAAAAACACTGTCAAAAGCAATGTTTTGGAAGGATTTACTGCCTTTATGGCAAAAAACGTGTAAATTACCGTCTGTTTGACTGGAAACATTGGAAAAACACTGTCAAAAACAATGTTTTGGAAGGATTTCTTATATATATGTTGGAGTTGGCTACCGGCATTGGCACATGGAAAAATTGAAGAAAACACTGTAAATAGCGGTATTTTCAACGGTTGGGGAGATAGGGGAATTGGAAGCATTGTCGAACATGATGTTTTCGACCGGTTTTATGGCGACAAAAGTGTAAAGTACCGTGCTTTGAAGGAAACCATTGCAAAAACATGGAAACACATTCAAAGAACACGGGATTTGGGAGACTATCTAGGCGTCGTTGTCTAGCTATTTGAAATTCCGCAGCTTGGAGAACCTCCAAGGGAGGGAAAAGTGAAAATTCCATAGCTTGGGAAGCTGTCACGGCGGGGAAAAATGAAAATTCCCTAGCTTGGGAAGCCCCCACGGGGGGAAAAGTGAAAATTCCCTAGCTTGGGGAGCCCCCACGGGGGGGAAAAGCGAAAATTCCCTAGCTTGGGGAGCCCGCACGGGGGGGAAAAGTGAAAATTCCCTAGCCCGCAGGGGGGGGAAAAGTGAAAATTCCCTAGCTTGGGGAGCCCCCACGGGGGGGGAAGTGAAACTTCTTAGCTTGGGGAGCCCCCACGGGGGAAAACCACCCTTAGCGCCTTAGCCCCTCTCACGGACCGAAATAAACCTGCGGTGTGGGCGGCCACCCCACGCGAAGCGGGGTGAATATGCGTTTCCCGAGGCCGGAACGTCCCTTCTGAAATCTTACAAAAATTTTGCTGGTGGTGCGCTGGCTGCTGCTAGCTGGCTGCTAGCTGCTGCACTGCTGCCGCTGCTCTTACTGCTACTGCTGCTGCCGGACTCACTGCTGCCGCTGCTACTGCCACGGCCGCTGCTCTGGCTGCTGCAGCTCCCGGCAGCAAAACACCATGGCCCTAAAGGACGAAGCGAGTCCAAAATATACGTTTCCCGGGGCCGGAACGTCCCTTCTGAAATCCTACAAAAAGCTTGCTCCCGGCAGCAAAACACATGGCCCTAAAGGACGAAGCGAGTCCAAAATATGCGTTTCCCGGGGCCGGAACGTTCTTTCTGAAATCCTACAAAAAGCTTGCTGCTGGTGCGGAAATATCAGTTTTTACATTTTTAAGAGCTGCTGGCTGCTGCTAGCTGGCTGCTAGCTGCTGCACTGCTGCCGCTGCTCTTACTGCTACTGCTTCTGCTGGACTCACTGCTGCCGCTGCTACTGCCACGGCCGCTGCTCTGGCTGCTGCTGCAGCTCCCGGCAGCAAAACACCATGGCCCTAAAGGACGAAGCGAGTCCAAAATATGCGTTTCCCGGGGTCGGAACGTCCCTTCTGAAAACCTACAAAAAGCTTGCTGCTGGTGCAGAAATGATCAGTTTTTTTAACCTTTTTAAGAGCTGCTGGCTGCTGCTAGCTGGCTGCTAGCTGCTGCACTGCAGCCGCTGCTCTTACTGCTACTGCTGCTGCTGGACTCACTGCTGCCGCTGCTACTGCCACGGCCGCTGCTCTGGCTGCTGCAGCTCCCGGCAGCAAAACACATGGCCCTAAAGGACAAAGTGAGTCCGAAACAAGCGTCAAAAGTCCTTTTCCCTGGCGCGCTCCCCCTTGCGTCTGCCGGGGTTGGCGGATACTTGCTGCTGTTGCTCCTTGCTGCTGTTGCTGTTCGGCTACTCTGGGTTTGCTGCTGCCGCTGCTACTGCCACTGCCGCTGCTCTGCTTTTGCTCCTTTGGAAAGCTTCCCAAGACCCGTTGTTGTATTTCTTGTTGTCCACAACCTCTCTTCCCTGACGCGCTCCCCCTTGCCGTCGGCCGGAGTCAGCGGATTCATTGTTTCAAACCCTTTTAAGAGCTGCTAGCTGGCTGTTAGCTGCTGCCGCTGCTCTTAGTGCTAGTGCTGGACTCGCTGCTGCCACTGCTACTGCCACTGCCGCTGCTCCTGGTGCGGCTAAATTTGCTTGTCTTATTCCCTGGCGCGCTCCCCCTTGCGTCTGCCGGGGTCGGCGGATAATATGATTAATCTGCAGCTGCCACCGCAATTGAACACCCAACATACATCAAAAAGTCTTCTGAATTCTCAGGTGTGCAGCACACTGGCCTGAAGGGTCCGATGACAGCCGCATGGCCAACATGTCTGTCACTCTTCTGCAGTGCTATCTTGTTGATGCCACTCCATCTACAGGTTTCGCAACTTTTTTCTTTATCGGATTTGATCCATGCTCTTGTTCTTCCAAACAATTGTATGTTTCCATTCGTCCAATAAGAGAGCTTGCCATGTACCCGCACCTCAGCAGTCCTGTACAAGCAGAATGCCGATTCCAAGAACATCAAGAACTATCGTAGCAGTGTTTCACCTGGAGCCAAGGCCAGTTATGTCTATAGTTTCTTTGACTCTTTTGCCGCAAGTTCGGACTCGCGCAGCTAGACGTTGCAGGCAGGGCGAATGGTCCTGTGGTGTTGGAATTTGAATTGCTGAAATGTTCGGATTAGTGCTGGAAGCCAGCAATTGGAAATAATTGGAAGATGTTGGAAGATATTGAAAGCATGTTTGTTTTCAGATCTTTGCGCCATGTTGTTTCTCAATGCAGGCGTGTCCGCCATCGCTTACAGTCTTTCGCATGTCAGCAGCCTGAACTGGTGGAGAAGGAGAGCCACAAGCATAGTGATTTGCTCAAGACATCTCTAGACCATTGCTGGAAGTGACGTTTGACCGGGCTGGGAGACGTTGGAAATTTCCTGCGGTGTTTTTCTCCTCCTCAGTTCCTATATGGGAACGATATACTTGTCATGCAACTTGCAGGAGATCCGCGCAGCTATGCAACTGGATCCATCGCGACTTCAGATTCAGTCGTCCAAGGATGAGTGAATGCTTTGCGAATCTTTGGGTGAACGAGAACTAAGACTGGCGCATGCTGTACCTGTCATTAAACATTCTCAAACCAGCTGACACCAGCCATCACCAGCCTCATTGTCTTGGTGACATTTGGTGACATCTCTTGCAGATTCTTACAGGACAGCAGAGACAACAGGGACTTGAGAGGAGAGTGGCTGCCGCTCTTCCGGGGGTCTGCCCCGTATGTGGCGATGCCAGCAGCTTATTGATAGTGCGTGCGCGTCACCTTATGGAGTTCCTGAGAACAGGTTGCCGGCATTGGATGACCAGCCAAACAGTATCGAATTCGAATAGTCATAGTGGACATAGATTCCTGTCCTTATTAATGAAGCATGAAACCATCAAGCATGTTGTCAGCACTTGCAACGATGTGTTCGTTTGCGGAAACGATTCTGAATAGTCACACTTCGGGCAGTGTCTTTTCCAACATAGCTCATGAACAAGCTCTTTGGCTCAAAGGTCAACATGTCTTCTGCCGGAAAATGACAATCACATTGTGAATTTTGTCACATTGAAAGAGAGTTCGATAATTAAGCACATTTAAAGACCAATGCCTAACGTTCAAGCTGGATATGATATGTTGATTAACGCCAGATCTCCATCAAGACTATGCACAATAAGTTCACCTGAGCAAACGCATCAGCAAAAGCCTTGTATGATCTTGTATGTTTGTGTATATGTGGTTTCTGCAATTTCCTTTCACCTGCTGGTTGAGATGAGAGCCTCTTGGACGGAATTGGGAAAGCATGGAGGTCTTGTCAGTGTTTATCCCGCCCGGAAATATATAATTTAAAAAATGTGGGAAACAGTGGAAACAGATGAACATCTTGGAAGTTGATGATGATTGCAAGGTTGATGTTTGGATCAATGACAGAATGAGGTTGAGAGCACAGCAACTAACGAGTCCCTTGACACCCCATTATCCAAAAAGTGATTGTACACTTTGACCGGGTCCAACCTATTCTTGTATTCTTGAGTTTGCTAGAAGTACTCGTATGATTTAGTTTGCAAGTCATCATCAACAGAGATATCAAGAGATATCAACAGAAAGAATGTCACCCTTTCCTGGTTTTCACATTTTTTCACAGAGCTTCACGTTCCTTTCGTTTCGTTTTGTGCCCAGGTCATGAGAGCCAAGAGTCAGGCCAGCGTGGCAGTTCGACAGTTCCTTCGGACATCTTCGGACCACGGTGGCCTTGCAGGCTGTCGCTTGGATGTTTTCCATCGCCTTGGTTCCTTCCTCAGATTGCTGTTCGTAAAGTTTTGTAAACAAGCTCACGGACTGCACATTGAAATCACGAAATCACAAGGTGACACAACTCAGTTTCTTTGCCGAGGTGCACATTGCTTCTTGGCTACCTGCATTTTGCTCACTGCAGCAGAGGCCATCACTTTCTATGCTATGGCATAGCTATGGCATAGACATGGCATATACATGGCATATGCATGGCATATACAGTACACTTTAACATACTTTAACGCAGTTGGGACCTGCGTCTAAGCATTTGTCCCAATTTAAATTATCAAGTATCTTCCTGAAAATTGAGCAAGGTCATCTCCCCCTTTAGGGACCATGAATACAGACCACGCTAGTCCATCCTGCACTAATACGAGACCTCAGCCTGCAAAAGCCCTTGTCAAGGGCTGGCTATCTTGCAATCCAAGCTAGATCAAACCACCCGTCAGGACGTCACTACAAATGTCAACCGGATATTTTTGTCTGACAGGTTTCGTTTATCATCATGAACTAGTTGATCTACCTTGAACTTGATCTTCCGTTTGTCATTGGCAGTTACATTAAAATTGTTGAACATGTCCTTCCAATGCCCTTCCACTTGTTTGGCTTCTGCTTTCTCTGCGAAAATGCCATTCGAAATCCATTCGAATGACCTCCGCAAGGCGATTGCAAACATCGAGAACGATGCTCTTTGCAGAGGAGCACCGAAGTCTTGGTGACTTTAAAAACCAACGGTCGCAGTGTATTAGTACTAGCCACCACCAAAATAGATGATTTCACCGATTTTAATGGAGGTGTGTTTTCCATACTGGAGAGCCGTTGGTCGGATCTAAAATCCTTTTGTAGCACTATCATCGTTGTGCAGATTCCTTTCACTGTAGCATCTCGAGAGCATGCTCATTTTGGGCAGAACCCCCAATCAACCCTGATTCAGTTGCCTTGTGCAGAGCAACAAATCTTGCGTTCTGACTTGAAGACATGGCGCAATGTGGCGCAAGCATGTCCAGGAGCCCTCAACCTTTCGAGCCTCAAGTCACCTGGCCACGTTTTGTTTGGTTGTGCTGAAACCATGCAAGACGTTTGAAGTGAGAAGAGCGAAAAATAGGGAGCAAGCAACGGTTCGGCAGATCATACAGAGGTGAACAGTACTCAGTGGGCAAGCGCAGCCAATGTAGACAGTGCTGACCTCCATTCCAGGTTTTGCGCCAGCTGGCTTTCAAAGCAAGTTGAAGGAGAGCCACGCTCGCGTCATATCGCTTCATGCCTTGATATTTTTCGAGCAGTACTAGTAGCTGGCACCATGAAACATCATCTTACACATTTGCCCAACAAATAGATACATAAACATACAACAAGCATGTTGAACAAGCAGTCTCGGGTGACCGTGATTCTAGACTTTCGATCGTATCGAGAACTTGGGATTGAGTGGAGCGGTTTGCACAGAGCCGACTGTCAAGGTCACATTGCACATGTCCTTCAGAAAAACGAACATATTTCCTATTATTTCCTCAATAAAAAGCAGTGTTCCATCAAAGGGTGCTGATTCCTTTGGTTTGTTTGGGGGAATTCTCGGCTTCCCATGCAGGAAGATCAGAAGCCGGTGGAAATCAAAGGCTATTTGCAAGAAGCATTGTTAAAGGCAGGAATGCACAGAATCAAGATGTGAAAGTGTAAGGTTGCTAACCAGCCCTGGTTGCAACTATTAAAATTGCTGCTCCTAACACACTGTTTCAATGCATTGCGTTGGCATGAAGGCAAAACTACTTGATCGAGCTGCAGATGTTCAGTCCCGGGCCAAGCTTCTTTTATTAGCTCAGTAGTACAGCTACTCAATGGAGTCTGTTGTTGCTTGCTAGTCGCACCCTGTAGACAATGACCACCTGACAATTAAAGGTGTCATCAGGTGTCAATGATTTCAATCTTCAATCTTCAATCAATTAATCAATGAATGACAGAAAGCCTTGATTCTACAGATGCTAAGGGAGTGGTGCGATGAGCAAGGCCAGGTCCCGCCTCCAGATGGACATGAGACACATCCAAGGACGTGACAAATATCACTCGTGATGATATCATTGATATGAATATCCCTAAGAAATGCTGGATGGTGGGCATAATAATATGAATAGATACGACATTCACGATGTGGACGTAATATAGAAATATACAAACCACGATAGGCTTGGCAGCGATATGCAACCGGTGTGATCCCAACTTCGCCCTTTCACTCGTGGAGAGAATGGATTCAAGCTGTATTTTGCCGCCATTGCCCTGCCACCGTGCCATCTATGAGTGTTTCATACGCAGGCGCGGAGCTATTGCAAGAGGTACTGGATGAGTTTCCTGGCAAACTTGGTGTTATCAAAACTTCCCTGATGTCACTGATGTCTGTTGATTTCGAAATATCTTGAATCTTCCCTTTGCTGCTGCTTGGATCCGCGTTTAGTTTGGCCGTGTTGCAAAGGTTGAACACCCTCGGTGAGGATTTGCAGCTTGAGAGCGACGTGCTCTCGTGGGGCGCTCAGTAGATCTCAGTAGATCGCAGCATCGTCCGAGATCATCCGCAAGAAGTCGAGCTCAGAGTTGCTTCGAAACGTTTCAACTGACCCCAGTTGTGGAATTCTTCACTTTTCTTGGGAAATAGATGGATATAGTGTGGGAATGTGTGGGAGGGTAGGCTTTCAAAAGTCCTGACATTTGTTTGCCCTTTCCTCATTGAATCCTCATTGAAAGTGATCATCTTCTTTCTTCCCAAAATGCAAAATGGTGCAGCCTAGGAGACTTGGGAATGCCATTGTTGAGACGCAGGAAGGTGCCCGCGCAGAATTGAAGAAACGAGAGCGGGCTACAAGGCAAGGCACGAGATCTTGCATTATCACTTGGATGGCCGGAAGTGTTACTCCCATCATGGGATGTCCCATCTCAAGAGCTAGTTGTGGGGAATATATATCAAAAGCGAATCGAAAGAGAATTATGTAAAGAGTTTGTAGTATAGTTTCGCAAGAGAAGCAAGAACAGATCCAGCAATTGATCTTCAGACCCGCAAGATCCTACCTGGGTGAGATCGGTGCAGGGAAGGCATGGCCACACTTGGGCACAAGCTGATCAGCGGTCAAGTTTCCCTCGAAGCGGCAACCCTGCTGCATTGCCTGTCCTGTGGAAGAAGCCTCTTGAAAACTCTCCATGTTGGTCATGGCTGGGCGACATGCGGGGACAGTAAGAACACCAAAACATTTGGAGATCCAACTGCCATCGAAGTCATTTAAATAAGATCAGGATCTGCAAAAGAGGGGACGCCAAAATAATGCCAAACTGCCAAACTGGGCGTTTTAAATTCAAAAACCAATGGTCTTGGGGTGGCTACCCAGTAATTGTGAAGTCGCTTGACATATTTACATTCCGAGTCCAATGTTCTTCGATCACACCACATGAAAATAGATAGAAGTCGATCAGTGGTGAGACATTTCATTTACAGGATGATCAATTAATATGAGGATCATACTGAGCATATTTGAAATATATTTGAGGTTGGGAGACTGCAGTGTTCATTCCTCAGGTCCAAGAGGCATATGGCGCAGTTGAGCAGAAGACCTGATCAGCTGGAAGCAGCTGGAAGCACATTTCACATGTACAAACCGGTCTCAAAGAAAAAGGTTTCACACTTCACTCGCCACAGCGCATGTTTTAGCCGCTCAAAAATTGGGACAGCTGTGCGAGTTTCAAATTATTTCAATAGCCAATCGCACTGCTATTTACACTGGGTTGGGTATGTCTGGTTCAATTGAAACATATTGAAATTACACTGACGCGTGTGCCAGTTCCACTAAGGTTTCGCCAAAGCATCATGGTATTTCACATTCCTGGTCAACTACTGATCGATACCCAATGCTCAGAGTTGGGGTCTCAGGTTTAATACCTTGACCATCCTTGATCCGCCATGAATTCTGGAAATGCTGCGCTGACTCTTGGAATTGACAGTGGCAACTGACGACTGAGGTTGGAGGGCCTGCTGAGTGTCAAGCTGAAGGGACAATACTTATCAACACATATCAACGCTGCAAACACAGTGCATTGAACCTATTGATCCTCTCCAAGACGCTGGGAAAAAGATAAAGGTTGCGTCAAAGACAAGGTGATATTGCACTTTGTGCAGTGCTTGGAGTTCGTCCAGTGCTGGTGCCATCCTTGTCGTTCGCACCTCAGCCCATTTGGAAGTGCGATTCATGACTTTCATGATGCAGTGAGGATACATGAATTTGTATGCGCGTATTGGCGGTATTTGTTTGTTTGCTGTGGCGGAGAAGGCAGGGGTTTGAAGCGCAGGTTCAGCTTCGGTGCTTGTTCGTTAGCGACCAACCAGCCAGGCAGAGAGTCTTGAGCAGACTGCGAACAGAGTACAATGTGGAGGCCAGGCATGCAAGCTTTGAGACTGAGAATGACTGAGATCTTCTGCAGATTTCTGCAGAGTGTGTCACGAGGAGTGAACGTTCGCCCTCTGTCAATGTCGTGTCACCAGTGCCATGTGGATTTCTACAGGTTGGCGAATGTGCATATGCGGTGGAGGTCAGCTGTATGGATCTGATGAGACTGCGAAGTTTTCATGCTGAAAGTACACCACGAAATAGTCGTAATATGTCGCAATAATGTCCAATAAAACGATGCAATATATCGTATTAATTCGTATTATAATTTGTTTGCACCAGGCAGTTTGCAACGCATCGTTCAAGAATCAAGAGACTGTGTCAGCGGCCTAAGCGGCCTAGAGGTTTCAAAATGTTCAAAGAGTCGTAGTATAGACAGTATAGCTTCAAATGTCTTCACATACTCCTTGCGTCTCCTTGCACTGCTTTGTTCGCAGAAGTTTCTTTCCCCACCCGGACAGTTAGTTATTAGAGACTCCCGATAATGGCATGTAACATGTGTGGGCGAGCCAAGGTCGCGATTATTAAAGCAGGAAGCTGGCATGCTATGTGCAGAGGTGCCAAGACAAATTCAGGAAAAGGGAGGGGATTGGGAGCGGACGACTTGATTAATCTTGATTATCTATTAATTATATGTAGATTTAGATAGATCAAAAACATGTTTGCCCTTTTATAGGCACCAGATCATGGGCGGTAGCATCATTGGCAAGGTCTGCAGCATTTTTCAGGCCCACGCAGGCATCATTGAAGTACGTCAGTGACATCGATAGGCAGGCACTTGGAAGGTAGTTCCACGCAATGTCCCCAGACGCACCAAGTCTGTGTCAATGTTGTGAGAGACAAGGATACCCGAAATACCGGATCTCAACCTAAATCTATCTAAATCTGCTTTGCCGATAGATAAGATATTGATTCGACCGAGCAGCACTATGCTACTAGAATCTTGATCTAAAGCTTCAGTCACAGCCATGGGATGGCCGCGGACGACTCAAAGGATGAGATTTTACTAGCGGTCCCAAGTGACGTCAGCAACCTCAAGGATGCCATCGAGGAGGGTCGCGCAAGATGTCAAGAATCAGGCAAGATGGCATCAGCTGGACAAAAATACGTCATGTCAACTGAAGCCCGGAGGTTCATCGGAGTATAATGAGGGACACATGATGCTGAGATATGCTAAGCTGAGCTGAGTCTCACAGGAATCAAAACGATGCGCATCACCTTGGGCATTGACCATGCCGAGCCAAAGGAAGCTTGGCCCCTGGAGCTTACCCTGCAGAGAGGACAAGGACATCAATGGAGAGGAAGCTTTGGATAGCTTTGGTGAAAGGGGGAAAGACATCATTGTAGATATTGTAGCTCTGCATATCTCTACATAAAAGATTTCAGAGAAAGTGGAAGAAAGTTCGGTGAGTCCAATCATTTGGAAATGTGTCTCCACATTGAGACACCCTTTCCAGGGCCGCCAGGGCCATAACTTCTGTGCAGATTTCTGCAGGATGTCCACAACAGCTGGAGATCCTGGGCCCGCTGTGTGGCAGTGCCAAACTGGGCGATGTGCAGCTGGTCGCGAAATCTCCATCGGCTCTGCGCTTGTGCAATGTGACGTGTGGAAACGTTGGTTTGGATACCTGGCACAGCAGATCTGAGGACAGGAACATTGAAGAAGTATTAAAAAAAAACATATAGAATCATGAATACGTGCCAAACCCGCTCCTGTGTAGCAAGCTAAATTCCTTTGATGCTAACTTTGGTGTTAAGGATGGAGATGGATGCATGCTGGAGAATTGCCAGGCAGGTCTTTGCAATCAGTTGATGTTTCGTGATTGTTTATTCAGAAGTTGTTGGCTTTTGGTGGGCCATGTCATGAACAATGAACAACACCCCGCAGGCTCGCAGCATTGAGGTCAGCGAGAATGGCGCAGGTGCTGTGTGCAACTGTCGGGTCATGCATTCCCGCATAGGACTTCAACTTCGCGGTGCAGTAGAAGTTGACTCGATCACAATTTCAGACGCTTAAGCAGCACTGATGTCATTAAATGTCATTTTCCAATCTGACCATATCCTGCCATCCATTCCTGTGTATCTCTGACTCGGTGGTGTCAATCTTGCCCTGGCATCACTGGCATTCTTGACAGGATCCTTAGACATTGACATAGTCCTTCAGTAGATGCCTGACAGTTGCTGTGATATCCTTGACATGTCCATCATCAAAACACAATCTGTCTTGAAACTATGTACCAGACTTGCATAGACTTGCTATGACTCTATGATTGTTTATCATGTTTATCCGTCCGAGGATAAGTGTCTTGCTGAGCTGTGGACTGCCCAGGATTCAGTCATTGGCATCAGCGTGCATGGCAACCTGGATGTAGCCCTCCGCACTTGCCAGCTGCACCGCTGCAGTGCTGCTGGTTTGGTCTTCCATATTGAAATGCTCTTCGGCACAACAGCACAAAACGGCAGCCAAACCATGTATATAGATTATTATAGATTAACTATGATGAACTTAGAATTGTAGACATAAATAGCAACAGGGTTCCACCAGAATTTCCCGAGAGCTGACAAAACCCACGATGTGGAAGGCCAATGGACAAGGACGCAATGCTGACGCCATTGCTACGGTTGGATGGCTGCAGCATGAAGGACCTTGGGCATCGCCTGTTGAAATATGGAGAAAATGCAGAGGCTGTGGCGAGCCAATATATGGAATTCTTATCAGAGATGTTGGACATGACGTAACATGACAATGAGATACAAGGAGACACAAGGAGATATAATACGTTTGTCAACATGATTGAATATCATGGAAAACTTCCCAGTCCACAGCAAGTCAATCGTGGAGGACTGTGCGCGCGATTTGGAGGCTGGGCTCTCGTAGATACCGTGAGACCGGCCCAGTACCTTGAGACTGTTTCTCCATTGTGTTTGCCGTCCTCTCAAATCTTGGAGTGTTCGACTGAACTAACTCTCTTTTGATCTCTTTTGCATTCTTTTGCCATGCAGATGTGGTTGAGGTAGTGATGGTTGATGGTTGTATTGATCAAGCTTGGCTGTGGCCATGTTGAACTGTTCCGCTGCGTATTTCACTGTAGACCCCGATGAATTCATCCACCCTTGGCTCGGAGGTCTGGTTGCATGTGGCAGGAGCAGAAGCGCTTTCCTTCGACGAGTTTCCAATTCCCTCAGGAGAGCACGAAGTTGTACGCCGTGGACAAAATTGGAAGCTACAGGCTGTTTGCCGAATGACATATCGTTGTTGCTTTGAATTGTTTTGCATGTTCGCAGCTTAAACTCAGAACTGATGAGTTTCTTCATTCTCCGAGTTTCCCATGAACCGTTTTGAACAGTTTTGATCCCAACAGACTTGACGAGGCGGACGACGGGGTCATCTCCTGGCTAGAGCGCCCAAGCCCTGAACCCGCAGAGCGTCGACGGAAGCGGCGGAAAGTTCGGCAGACCCAGGATCTGCGCACTGCACCTGACCGTGATGGTTCCACAATGTTCAGCAGCATACTTGTATGTATAGGTGTGCATAGGTGTGCTATATAAATAGACAGTGGCCCTGGTACTGTAGTAAATTTATGTAAATTTCAGAGATTTGAGGAGCATCAAAAATGAAAACTGAGTTTGCATTCAGTAAGGCTCTTTCAACGTCTTTCATGCCAAGAGGTTGGGTTGCTAAGTTTAAGATGCAGGAGACCACCTCCTCGCAGACGCCCTCTATCAGTGGACCAGAAAAGGTGGGGTCTCGATGGTCTCGGATCTCCAAAGTGAGCTGAATTGATACCGAAATGTGTTCGTGGTTGTTGAAACATAAGTCATTTTACAGCAGTCACAAAAAGGATGCCAATAAACATCAATAAACTATATGTACACACGCGTACACATAGAAAATCATTTAAGTATTATAATTTATATAATTACATACAGAACTTCTATAAGTCTGTAATTATATTATGTAATTAATTATATTGGTACGTGTAAATGCAATTATGATCCATTATGATCCATAATGATCCATTATGTACAGGTATGTGTACGTCACATGTTTAACGTTCTTTTGATCAGGCATGGGCCTGCGACCTCTTGGGCTTGGACCGGAAGCAACTGACCTTGCAACAGCTGGGAGCTGCCTATCGCCGGATGCTGGGCTGAAGAGATTAATGATGAAGTGTTCCAAGATTTTCAGCACGGTTTCCCAAAAAGTCGCAAACAGCTGGAGAATGGTTGGCATCATGTGGCATCCAATGATAATTTCTGGGTATGGTTTGCTTAACAGCTCAGGAAAGCGAGAGAGGTCCATCCTGACAAGCAACGCAGCTCATCTGGGAGCACATCAAGTTTCCACGAAGTATCAGCAGCATACGAGGCACTGACGGGTTGAAATGCGATGAAATGCTCCGGCCTTCAAGAGTTTGCTACCAAGCAGGAGTGACAAGGATTGAGTGGTCGAAATTGACCGACACAAAAACTCACAAAAATCCTAAACCGGCGACTAATTCTGTCGTTGCAAGTATGAAGCAGCTTGAATGCTCAAATGAAATATTCAATTACCAGTACTTAAATCAGGTTGCATCATCCAAATTTCCACAGGCCTTGCTTGGAGCTTTCAACGCAGCCCCTGAGCATCCGCGGAAACGGCAGAGCAAAAGCGCTGATTTCGCATTGCTCTCTCTTTTATCCGATCATGTGAGACTGCTGGTTTGCGCTGTAGTGGTTTTGTTTCAGTTGGCCAGACATAGTGAGATGTGAAGAGCATCAAAGTTTCTCCAACCTGTTCCCCTGCTGTTTCATGTGTCACTGAACCGCAAATGTCAGGTGCAAGATCTGTTTCGTAGAGTGGCAGCAGCTTAGCTTGACTGTACTCGTATATATTCATGCATGTGACTTGTTTGTCTTTGTGGCTTGAAAGAACAAATTAGATGTCTGACAGGAAGGTGCCGCAGTGCTACAGTACTTTTTTTTGTCAATGGTTGGAGATTGGAGACTGTGAGAGACGTCTAGGCAAAGCCTACTGGAAACTTTGACAACAACAAGAGCCTCTCGGCCCCTTGGACTCCAAGAACTGCGACACTCTTTGAGGTTCTATGCTTTTCAGGTAGCAAATCACCTGACCGGCCAAGTAGAAGTTGAGAATTCCAAAGAAATTCTGCGGATAGCAAAACATGTTTGTATAGTAGGAAATTCCTGGGTATCACTTGCCATATTCCCACATATTCCCGGTATAAATAAACCACTTCTAACCAATACCGGTCTAATTTCCAATCGAAGACCAGCTGCATCATGGCCGATATCTTTCGATGACTCAGGTCTTTGCCAGTTCGCAGCTGGTCAGCGCAGCTCCACCAAGGGTACGCTGGCACTTGTACTTTTTATATCAGGATCATCAGGATCATCAGGTGCTGATATGAATTGAAAATATTTGACCAATATTGGTTCATATTTGGGAATATGATGGAATATGCAGATAGATGCAGATAGGCTTTAAACTGATCTAAACCGATATCTCTAACGCACAAGAGTTGATATAGGATGATATAGGATTTATTTGCAAAGTTCTGGAAAATGATTGGCAGGCAAAAACTGGATGGCAAACCAGCCCTCTCTTGGGGCGCGTGCTTCGGGCTCGGCCGACATTTCGCTTACTTTTTGCGAATAAAGCAAACTGTGTGTGCATGTTCATATACTATTGTACTTCGAAGCACAGTGCGAATATCATGTCTTAATCTTAATATTTAACCGCCTTCGGCGTGTTCAGCCGGCCACCATGTAAAACAGCTCTTTGTGTAAAAGATGGTTTGGACGCAAAAACATTGCTTTTGTTTAAACCACGGTTTTATGTTTAAACCAAAGCATGTGTGTAAACCAGGGTTTTGGAAAAGGCCATATTGAGAACGGCTTTGGAAAGGAGGGTATATTTTTTCGGGAATTTTTATTGTTTTTTTTTAGGATTTTTTTTTGTTTTTCAGTCTGGAGCAGCTTTCCCTGCTATTTGGTGCTCTTTGGAGCTAAAATCTGTGTTTTGCATGCATTTTGGAGCTAGGATCTCTCATTTGCGCGCCCACTTGGCTTTTGGCTTCAAGTGCCCACTTGGCTTTTTGGCTTTTGGCTTTTGGCTTTTGGCTTTTTGGCTTTTTGGCTTTTGGCTTTGCTCGGGCTTTCTTTTGGCTTTTAGCTTTTGGCTTCACTTTGGCTCTTGGCTTTTGGTTATTGGCTTTTGGTTATTGGCTTTTGGCTTTTTGGCGTTTAGCTTTTTTGGGCCATGGCTTTTGGCTTTGGCTTCACTTTGGCTGTTGGCTTTGGGCTTTGGCTTCACTTGGCTTCTGGTTTTTGGCTTTCTGTGGCCCCTTATCTCCTCGATAAGTCAAGAAAAGACATAATCTGGCTTTTGGCTTTTTGGCTTCACTTGGCTTTTGGCTTTGGCTTCACCTGGCTTTTGGTGTTTGGTTTTAGCTTCACTTGGCTCTTGGCTATATTGTTTTGAACTACTCCATGTTACGGGAAAGAAGGGAAATAAGACTCTTATTTCCCTTAATATACGTAAAAAAAATACATAATGATAGTTGAACTACGTATTCCATGCTTCGGAAAATGAACGCAGGAAAATAAGACCTTTTGGCTTCGGCTTCACTTGGCTCTTGGCTTTGGCTTCACCTGGCTTTTGGCTTCACCTGGCTTATATATGTAAACCCTAAATAAACCCTAAACCAAACCCTGCATATAGATATATATATATTAAATACACGTGTAAACGCACTGATCTACATATACATATAGTCATGATTAGTCATGCATATACCTTTTTACATCTACAATTTGTAGTTTGCACATCGTGTATTTCCAAAAATAAATGAAAACTTCGGAAAAACCATGAAAACCATGTGCCTTATCTGTATTCCACATGTTTCCAGGGTGCATGTTGTGTAGTCTATACACCTTGAGTATCACATTCAACCCAGCACCTTGCATGTGAAAATAGGTGTTTCCAATCTGCAAATGAGTGATTTTAGTTGCAAAAACCAAGGAAGGGAGCCTGGACGACCAAAAAAAAAACAAACAAAAAAATGAAAAATCCACAAAAAAATGCGCACCCATTAATAAGTGTCCTAACTAGCCCTTTTAGGGGAAAAAAAACGCATGTCAGGACACTTGTTGAATCTGGACTCCAACTATATTCATGTCATTTGGGTTGAGCAATTGTTGCAAGAAACTCAGACGTTTACTCGTGGGTTTCTATGCATGCTTGTGCGAGAGGAACTAAAATTCTTTTCAACAAGTGTCCGGACTAGCCCTTTTCCATCATTGAAAACCCTTGTTTCAGGACTTGTTGGATCTGGTGTGTATTGGCTTCTGGTGGTTGTGGCTTCGCTTGGCTTTTGGCTTTTGGCTTTGGTTTCACTTGGTTTTTGGCCTTGGCCGTTTTGGCTTTTATGCAGATATCTAATGGAAAATGAAGGAAAACTAAGGGAAAATGAAGGAACACTAACGGAAAATGAAAGAAACCAATTGGAAAATAAAGAAAAACTGATAGAAAATGAAGGAAAACTAATGGAAAATGGAACATGAAAGAAAACCAATAGAAAACTAATGGAACAACTATTGGAAAATGAAGGGAAACTAATGGAAAATGAAGGAACACTATTGGAAAATGAAGGAAACGTGATGGAAAATGAAGGGAAACTAATAGAAAATGAATGCAAACTAGTAGAAAATGAAGGAAAACTAATAGAAAATGAAGGAAAACTATTAAAAAATGAAGGAAAACTAATGGAAAATGGAAGAAAACTAATAGGAAACCAAAAAACAAAAAAAAAATCCTTAAAAAAAACAAAAAAAAACCTAAAAAAAATCTTCGCCCCTTTGGAAAAGGCCTTTTTTAGAAAGGTTACGCGTGTAAAAAGGTGTTCAGCACAAAAGCCAGTGGATCAACTATTGGATATAAGAAGCGACGGAGCAAACCGATGGCAAACACAACAAAAAACGGAAACAACCATCGAAATGACAGCAAGATGTGCAAAACCAAGCCAGTGTTGAGCGAGGCGTGGGCAGAGTTGAGCCCACCACAACGTAAGGAAAGATGAAGACGAAACGAAGAAGAGCTAGGTGGGGGCGGGTGGGTTCAAGTTAGACGAGGCAAAAATCCGCGCCAAGGGGAAAGTCTAGACAACACAAAGACAAAACAGAGTATAACTACGAACAAGCAAGATCCACAAGACACGCCGGCAGGCCGGCGGATTTATCAGCAATTCATCTACAGTATGATCAGTATGTGAAGCAGTTTGATGTGGACTTCGGTTCCAGTCTGGTGCCAGCAATGTTCGTTGAGTTAGGACTGGCATTGACGCAGCACAGATCCTTCAGCGCCTACAAGAGGACAGCACAGTTTGAGTGGAAGTAGCAAACCATGGTCCCACAGGATTTTGAACTTTGAAATCCATCAAACACCCAAAAAAGACCTTATATCCTACTGGAATCTACTGGGTCTTGAACAGGAACAAGTGGTGTGTGTTTTGCCAGTGGCAGCTGGATCACTTCAAGGCAAGGGTACAGAGCGGTGGCAGTGACGTCAAAAGCTGGCGGAGGAAAAATCAGAAGGGTTCTCCCGCATTAATTCCCATTACCCTGGTGTGGTAATCATAGATTTTATATGGTTTTATGCTGATTATGCTGCAGGATGAGGCAGGTGTTCTGCAATTGCCCAAGCAATTGCACGAAATGTACTTGGCTACAAGAAACCTCTTCGATCCTCTTTGCTTTGCAAACCTTTGCAAGAGTCATTTGTGCTGATGGATCGATTTATCGAAGTGATTTTGTTCGGACAAGGCGATGGACGTTTGCGCTACATTCCATCAGAGGAGCTCGCAGCGCAGGTGTGTTTCGCCCGGACAAATCTCGATGCAAAAAAGGGCGATTGTTGCGAGATGTTGCAAGATGTTTCAAGATGTTTCAAGAAACCGAAAGGTTCTTGGGGTTTTAATGTCCATGCCTGAAACATCCAGAGATATCCTGAGATGTTACTCACTGTTGTGGCCACGGCCAGGTGGCCGAAAAGCTGAAGGCCTCCAAGCTGATCTTCTTTACGCGTGGTGCGCTGCTTGAGAGTATGCCAATGATAGAAGTGAGGGACGAGTCTGAGTCTGCAATATGTCCAGCAAGTATGTTCAACACATCTGTTCAACATATTATTCAACCTAATTCAACATAATATGTGTCAGCCCATTTCAACATGTGTTTATCTTTTTTATCTATAGTTCAATTGTGCTTCACAATGATTGATGTTTCGACCGAATTCGATTGATCCCTTTCACCTGTTTGGCTGAGGTCAACGGATCGTTGATACTGCTCGTGGCAATGCGCAACACTCATTTGCGGTTTGATCTCATCACAAAGAGCTTCAGGATTGCTTCATGTTCATGAAGACATATGAAGACTATGATCTTAGGATATCTTAGGTCATTCCGACTATGCAGCTAGCAGAAGCAAGTAAACTTGTGGAAGAATGGTCGTCGCAGCCTCAGTGTTTTGACCTTTGAAGACATGCAGCAACCCTGATGCAATCGATCTGGACACCTGCCATGAGGAAAGCAGGCAATTCTTTCATGGACAAGGCCTGCCGCGCCACATTTGTTCACGTTTTCCCTACAAATAACATGCTGTCAAGTTTTGAATCTTTTTGAATCCGATGTTTGGTTGTTTTTTTTTCTGGAAAGCTTAAAATAGCCACGGCAAGTTGTCCAGTTGCGTGCTTGCATGATGCACCTGGGCGGGCATTATCTAACTTGAGAAGCAGCAGGAGGAATCGAAGGAGATTGTGAGATATTTGGACTTGCCAGCAACTCAGGGGGAGTTGATTGGAGTTTCATTCTTCGCAAGTCTTTCATGAATGCAGTTGCAGCTTGTTCTTTGTTACTTCATTGTACTAGTGTACCTCGCTCATTCATCCATGGCTGTCAGGATAAATGATCATGCTGCTTCGGCCTTCATTGCAGATTCAAAAAATGATCCAAATGATTCCAAATGCATATGCATCATGATTCATGATCATCATTGTAGTTTTTATGATGTTTATGCTGTTTTATCATGTGTTGTATTCTTGCTAGTCTACCTGCCTTCGTTTCAGATACTGTTTGCTTCCGACTTTGAAAGTTGGCCACTGCCAGCTTAGGCTGATCCAAGCTTTGCGCTGTGGAACTCGCCGTGGTCATTTGATCGATCCCCAACGTGGGGCTCTTTTGCAGGCACTTCAACTTGTTTACAGTGTTTTTACACTGGTTTTGTGTAGTGTTTTTGTACATTCTTTGGTTTTTACAATGTTGACAATAACTCCGAAATGATCGAATCGGTAGAAGATGTTGGTAGAAGATGGGAATGGTTTATATAGTATGGGCGGTTTACTCGTTTATCCCATTGCTTTGTTGAGATCCCTATGGTCGCAGTGTGCACACTGACACAGGAGCTGTACACCACGGATGGAAGTGGAACAATGATTTCCCTGGATCTCTATGATGGAATCAGGCAAGTGTCATGGTATGAATTGAGTTGCTGACACCTTAAATGTGGCAAACATGATCAGGGAGACCACACATAGGTATACTCTTCCAAGTAGCAATGGCAGACCAATAGTGCTGTTAAATCAGCCCTTCTTCCAGCCCTAGGCCCAGTTCACAATGGCAGGGTTTCTAATGAAGATGCTCGAAGCTTGACAGCAGAGAAGCGGAGCATGAACCCTGACAGGATCGCCCGCTCTGGGGATGTTTCTGGCATTCTAGATCTCATTGAGCCACTGGTGAAGTCTGTAGCTCAAAGCTTCAGCACAATCCCAGCGAAGTCTGAATCTTGTTGGAACATCTTGGAAAGAGGTCTCGAGCCTTAAATTGGTCATCAAGCACCTTGGTATCCCTGGCGACTTTTCCTGCACATTTATATATCATTATCCGATTTAGCCATTTCCGGGTAAGGCGTGGCTTGCTCAAGCGGCGCAATACCTACGAGGCTGGCAACGACGCTTGTCCATGTAAATCACCCATGGGCATCCAGAGATGCCGCATTGTTACAAAGCTGCTCTATCAATCACGCATTTCGCCCCAGCCAGGTTGAGAGAGCCAGTCCCCAAGGAGAAAACAACATACTTACTGTATATACAATGTATATACATTGTTTTCCTAGCAAAACTTTCATTGTTACCACAACTATATAGATACAGAGTTTTAATTTGTTTGAAATAGTATTCTTGACACATGCGCATTGTTTCTTCCAGGCTTGTACGCGGGCACCTAAGGCTTGCAACAATCAGGAAATGTTTGTGTGGAAACGCGATGATTCTTGGCTAAACTCCTCTTTATTGACCAGTGCTGACAGTGCTTGTGCAGCTAGAAGCCCGCCAAACAGAAAGTCTTGTGAGACTCAAGATTGCATCATATTGCATCCGTTGTGGTTGTTGTCAAAGTACCTGTCAAATCAAAGTTGGTTTGTATTATGGGTGCTTTATCACGATAGACTATTTCGCTAGCTACATCTAGCTACACAATTTGCCAAGGAAAAGTTTGTTGGCTGTGCAAGCCTCGAGCGCTTTGAGGATGCACCAGGTAAAGCAGAGTGCAGATCCAAGAGACGCAAATCACTGTTGAGAGTTCTCTGATTCTCGAAGGTTTCATGGCTCCAACAAGGTAGCACAATGTACTGTAGCAATGTGATGTAGGAGTCTTTGTAGCGCTGTGTGTGTATGCTATGGTGCGATTTTCTTGCGTCAGTTTCCCAAGGGATATTTAATTATTGTGTTGCTTTGCACGCTCCACAGGTGGGCAAATGAATGTCTTTTCTGTGCTTCAGATATCTTCAGATGGATTTTCAAACTCCTGCGGCACTGCATCGGATTTTTCAGTTTCAGAGCTTTAGTCTTCGCTACCATTGCGAAAAGCTTCACTCGCTCGCTTGCAAGCAATCAATCCGAATTCAGAATGAACGTGTCTGCCCAACGAATCATAGACCTCAGACAGTTCCTTGGAGAAGCGACTCCGGTTTCCTATGAGTTTGGAAGGCTTAACGAGGAGACACCGTGCCATAGAGGAGCGGAAACACAAGGAAGAATAGAAAGCACTTCAAAGAGCTATGAATAAGAACTGACTGCTAAACTAACAGATCAAACTATAAGCAGATGTCTTTTCGCGCTTTTGACTGTATGTGTATACAGTGTATACAAAACGTTGAACTCCGTCAGCAGACAAAACTGCAACCAAGGCTGGGATGCTTTGTAGTTTCGCCTTTGTGCCGTGGCAAAGGCCAGGGTAGATTGGCTTGCACTGCACAGTTTCCAACAGAGGGTAGGAACCAACCCATTGGAGCATCCCCCATTAGGAAGTGCTGCAAGATGCTGCAAGCTTTTGGTCGGACAGTTCATGACTGGTTTTGATGACCAAGAATTGAGTTTCTTCTGCCAGCGTGAAGCAGATGTGCCCCTGACATCCCCTGACTGTTTTGCGATATTCCATCGTGACAAAGTAATCAGTTTGCATCCTTTGGGGTTCAACATTGTTAGAATCTCCATCAGGAGGAACTTGTGCTAGTTGCTATGCTGTGCATCGCGTTGCAGGACACGGTGCTGTGCTGTTGTCTTACATCGAGCGAGTTGCTACGCTGTTGGGAGTGCCCAGCACTCAGGGCGGAAGTCTGAGGTTTTCCATTCAGCTGGTTGGGAAAAGAGGGCCATCACATCGTTTGTCTCAAAGTGTACTGGCTGAGGTAAAACAAGGTGTAATTATTTGTTCATATTATGTCCAATTTCATTTAGATTAATGCAGACAATTTTTTGCGGATTTAAAGTATCTTGGAATATGTAGCTGTCACAACTCATGCTGTGATACTGATGTCAGGAGGCAGCTGTTCCTGTTGACTACGCAAACAATGTCAGTCTGGCTTGTTTCAGATGATTTGCCGTACCAGCCAGTTGCTTGCTGAAGTTGTTGATGTTTCCAGCAAGCCAGAGCATGTTCACAAGAAAGGGAGCATGAATCAAGCTGTTCTGTGAGATGTTGGTTTTATCAAGTGAACTGATGCCGCAGCTGTTTTTTAAACAGGCAGTGCTGGAGACAGACAGAGACAGTGAAGCAGATGTCATATCAACAAAAGGTGTGCATCCAGGTGGTAGGGGATTCTCTGAGTGTACACTGTCAGCCTCTGCAAGCAGTTCTATGTGCAGCCTTTGCAGTAAAATCGGCCAGGCATTGCAACGTTTTCCCGTTGTTCGCAGTAGATTTTCAGCACATTGGTCACAAGCAGATGGAGTCCAGAAAGTCATGCATTGCTTGGCTTAGTCCTTTTGACTTAATCCTGCATACTCCTTCAAGAGGATGCGTAGTTGCATGTCTTGCGTGTATATAATATGGTCATCATTTAAGAGTCATAAGGAAACATAGGGAAACTACCATCCTGTGTGCCGTTTAGCGCAGTCGTCATCAGCTTATCTCCATGCAAATTTTCAGAATCAGCCATGGTCCCTACAGCGGGCATATAGGTGTTCGTTGTGATGACGAGACCAGCGAGATTTTCCAAAGTGCAAAGAGCGTAGCACTGGAACTGCTGGGATTGGCTTCGTCCTCTGAAGCAAAGGAGTCAAGTCCTGAAGAGATCCAGCAGTATCTGAAATCTGTTGGTCATGGCGACTATCACTGGCAGTTCCTCCAGGCACCAGGTGCTTTTGGGCTTGGCCTTGGCAGCAATCAAAAGAAGTACAGTCGTGCGGTGTTTCTCGCTCTGGCCTTACACAAGGCTTCCAAGATAGCTCCAAACCAGGTGCCTGAAATCCTGAAAGATCCTTTGCTTCGTCTCAGCAGGGCATCCGATCTCGAAGTGCCAAAAAAAGAAACGTGGACTCCTGGGACCTATTCGACATGGGAACAGCCGCAGCCTGAGACTTCCCAAGACTTCGAGCAGATATTTGAAGCAGCTTGGAAGGACTGTGAGCATTGGCTTTATGACTTCAATGCGAATAGTATGCCAGATATTTTGGAATTGCGTCACGTGGAAGTTTTGAGACAAAGGAATTGCTTGATTCCTCGCAAGCCAACACACAATATCCTGATGGCAGCGAGAGGGTTGATGATGGTGGAGCTGCAGAGCTGCGGCCAAGATGTGATCTACAAGAGCTTGGCTGACCGCCCGTGGCAAGCCATTGTGGCTGGCATGGCAGACAATATCAGAAGTGATTTTGTTGGGCCGGGGATCAAAGAGTTTCGGCTCCAAATGCGCAGGAAAGAGCGTTGCCCCTATACTCGGGATCCCATGGCAATATTTGTTGCGGTGCGAGAAGATGGTCGGAAAGCCATTCATCATCCCCATGCCACCAAAGATGAACCACTTCGATTTGAAGATGAGGACGGAGTGAAATCTCCACATCCTCCGACAAAGGACGAGATTGTCAGGGCATTTCGCTTGGCTACAAATTGGTCTGTGCAGAACAGATGGACAGCCTTCCAGACAGGAGTTTTTCAAGGAATCCTGAGACGTTTCAAGCGTCATTTCCGGCCCGAAGGGTTCTGCCTCACGGATTTCCAGCTTGGAACTCGCGTTCAAGCATGGGAGCTTGCTCCTTCCGTGAAGGTCAAGTTCCTGGAGTTTCTACAAAATGGTTGTCAGGGACAAAACGATCTGACCAATTCGGAGGGGGAAAGTGATGCAGATGCAGACAATAGTCTGCTGGCCAATACCCTCCACCTGCACCAAACAGGTACTACACAGGAGTGGCAGATTGAATCTGAGGTTCAACACGAAACTGGCTATGGTTCTCACGATTCAACACGTGGTTGGGACAGAGATTCCTCATGGTGGAGCGGATGGCAGTCTTCATCATGGGACTCCTCTTGGAGATCCCAATGGACACATGGGACAGGCTCATGGCAGGGGTCTGAACAGTGGGATGCTGGTTCCTGGCAATCTTGGGAATTTGATGATTGGAATTCTTCGGAGGATGTTGACCTGAATACACTTCACCAAGAAGCTTTGTCAAATTTGGGACTTGGCGATCCCCAGGAGAAGAGCATGCAGTCTGCAATGATCAATGAGTTTCTCAGAAGCGAGATTTCTGGATCAGGACAGATTCTGGCTAGCTTGGATCCTGCTCGCGACGACCGTGCAGAGACGACGTATGCATGGTTGATCAGGGAGATTGACGTGTCACGATTGAGATACAGCCACGACAACATCTCCAGAAAATTCCTACATGGCCAGCACAAGGGGCAGAACGTCGAAACACTCAGCTATGACTTGTGGAATGATAGACTTCGTACCGCAGATGTAAAGCCATTGGTTGCCGTGAGCTGGAAGGGTGCCATTTGGGTGATTTGTGGCAATCGCCGATGTCATGCTATGAAGTCATACGTTGGTTGGCTGGAGCGGCTGGGGTCCCAAAATTCTCTGCCTGTGCCCAAAGCACGCGTCATTCTTCACGATTTCCCAAGGCTGTCTGGAATCCGGGATGAGCAAGTCCGCTGGGCATTTATGCTTAAGGCCGTTTCCTCCATGAGCACTCGAAGTGAAGGGCTTGATGTGCAGGTTGGTAGGACTTTTCGGTGAGGCGCATCACCGTTGCATACTGCAGCCAGCAGCCAAGTTTCAAGTCAGTTTCACCGGAATAGACTCAGCCAAACGTTGAGCATCTCATCAAAGCCGCGTTTTGTTCAGCACTCCAAAAAATCCATGAAAGTCCTTAGTTGAGAGTTGGCAAATCGAACATGATAGAATAGAACAAAATTGGCCGCTTTGTGGATCTCTGCTGGTATGCAAGGCAATGGTTTGTTGAGCGAGGATTTCAGAATGCCTCCCTTGATGACCTTCCACCAAGCCACTTGGTGCGGATCAAAATGGATTTGATTAAGAGAATTCAAGAGATGAGATATTAATACGATTTAAGGGGCATACTTGTAGTATTTTTTATTTTAGAGCTGACGCTCATCGTCGGCTCCGCCGGATTTTTTGACCCTCGATTTCATAGCAGGGTGGGCTTGAAAGCTATTGAAGAGGACCTGCTTCAGAATTATATATATATATTCCTTATGTGTTTTGAACATATTCATGGAATCATGGAATTGGAACTTTGTTGAAAAACGGCAGTTTTTTCTTGGAGCAAGTGGGGAAGGCTTGTTCCCGCAAGCTCCTGCGAAGGGCTTTTCCTAAAGAATTGCTGCCAATTTCAACTTTCCACTTCGTGTAAAAGCGCCTCTGTTTAAAGACTTCTCTATGTAAAAGCTTCTGTGTGTAAAAGCTTCTGCCTGTAAAAGCTTCTCTGTGCAATGATTTCTCTGTGTAAAAATTTCTGTGCGTAAACACGCCTGTGTGTAAAATCCTTTCTGTGTAAAGACTTCTCTGTGTAAAAACTGCTGTGTGTGAAAGCTTCCGTGTGTTAAAGCTCTCTGTGTAAAGACTTCTCTGTGGAAAAGCTTCCGTGTGTGAATGCACCTGTGTGTTAAAGCTCTCTGTGTAAAGACTTCTTTGTGTAACAGCGAATGTGTGTAACAGCTTCTGTGTGTAAACGCCCTTGTGTGTAAAAGCTTCTCTGTGTAAAAGCTTCAATGTGCAAAAGCTTCTGTGTGAAAAAGCTTCTGCGTGTAAAAGCTTGTCTGTGTAAAGACTTCTCTGATCTTCTCTGTGTACAAACTTCTCTGTGTAAAGACTTCTGCTGTGTGTGAAAGCTTCCGTGCGTAAAAGCTCTCTGTGAAACGACTTCTTTGTGTAAAAGTTTCTGTGTGTAAACGTGCCTGTGTGTAAAATCCTCTCTGTGTAAAATCCTCTCTGTGTAAAGACTTCTTTGTGTAACAGCGTCTGTGCGTAACAGCTTCTGTGTGTAAAGCTTCTGTCTGTAAAAGCTCCTCTGTGTAAAGGCTTCTCTGTGTAAACGCTTCTGTGTGCAACCGCGTATGTGTGTAAAAGCTCTCTGTGTAATCACTTCTCTGTGTAAAAAGGTTCTGTGTGTAAAAGCTCCTCTGTGTAAACGTGTCTGCGCGCAAAATCTCCTTTGTGTAAAGACTTCTCTGTGGAAAAGCTCCCGTGTGTAAATGCGCCTGTGTGTTAAAGCTCTCTGTGTAAAGACTTCTCTGTGTAGAAGCCCCTGTGTGTGTAAAAGCTTCTGTTCGTAAAAGCTTCGGTGTGTAAACGCGTCTGTGTAAAATCTCCTCACCAGCAGCATTCAGCATCATATTTTCTTGTGTGCTATTTTCTTGTCTCCTCTCTCCAGCTTTCTTCCGGGCCACCAATCTGTAACGTCGTTTCTTGTTGAAGACCGCCAAGAACATGTGAAAGCATCGCTCATTAAACAAATTGAACACAAACATCGCACAAAGCGCTGTAATTTACAGCAGTTTGCGCTGTCAGATGGCAAGAACCCGCGTAAATACCACAGTGTTAGTCCCCGAAAGTGGCTAAAACACTGTTATTTATAGGGTTTCGTTCACGTCACGATCTTCGATTTTTTGAAAAAATGCGTAAGTACCAGCTGTTTTTTTTGCGTCCCAAAAAAATGGTTCAAGAATTGAAAACATTGCTGTAATTTATAAGGGTTTGGCGCCGTCACGGGAAAAAAAATGTGTAAATACCAGCATTTTAGCGTCCAAAAGTTGTCAAAACACCGCTATTTACAGTGTTTCGTGCCTTCCACGTTTTCTTGAAATTGGAAAAACCGTGTAAATACTAGCATTTTTTGTGATCAACCCGCCAAACATGCTGTAATTTACGGATATGTACAGTGTTTTTTTTGTTTTGCTTTCAAAAACACTGGTATTTGCAGCGTTTTGTGCATCTCTAGATTCTCTAGTCTGAAAGTATTGGTATTTATATCATTTTCTGCGTTTTTGGATTATTCCCGCAAAAGACGTTGAAACGAAAAAAGATGCTGCAATTTCCACGGCATTGTTTTTTCCGATTTTAGGCAATTCAATTACCCTCAAAACGGAGGGAGGGAATGCTCTTAGAGACGCTTATATGAGCGACCCGGACTCCGTCCAAAAAGCTCGCCAGCAGAGTGATGTTTTTCGGGGCCCGACGGAGCGCGCCTCACCGTAGAGCTCTAGTCGCTCTGGGACGCTCGTGGGGCAAGCCACTCGTGGGGAGCCGGCGGAGCCGAATTTAAGCGCTTACGCGTGACAGCCGGCCAGGGGCCCAACTATGTTGGCCCATCTTGTGGCTATGTTGGCCTAGGTTGGCCTATCTTGCAGGGCATGTGGGCCCAGCTTGGGGCTATGTTGGCCCAGCTCGGGGCTATGTTGGCCTATCTTGAAGGCTATGTGGGCCGATCTTGAGGTCTCTGTCGGCCGATCTTGAGGCCTATGTTGGCCCATGTTCACCCATGTTGAGCCAAAAGATCCGAAAAATGGGAACGGCAAAAAACACTGTAAAACGCAGGATATTTTGATGGTCGGCGGCCTAGCTTGGGACTATGTTGGCCTACCTTGGGGCTATGCTGGCCTATCTTGAGGGCAATGTGGGCCCATCTTGGGTTTATATTGGCGCGTCTTGGGGCTATAATGTCAAAAGATTCAGCTGCCAAGGCTCGAAAAAAGCGGCTTCGCCACACTCAAACAGCATGGCAGTGAAGGACGGAACGGGCCCCCGGGTGACGGCCTGTACTGCCTAACGTTGCTTTCTGAAGCTGCAAGAAAATTGCTATCTTTTTGCTTTTGCGCTGCTCCTGGCCCTTCTTGCTCTCCCTTCTTGCTCTTGCTGCCTGACGGCCAAGCCTCGAACGGTTCAGCTGCCAGGGCTCGAAAAAAGCGGCAGCTGCCAGGGCTCGAAAAAAGCGGCTTCGCCACACTCAAACAGCATGGCAGTGAAGGACGGAACTGGGGCCTCCGGGCGACGGCCTGTACTGCCTAACGTTGCTTTCTGAAGCTACAAGAAACTAGCTATCTTTCTGCTTTTGCCGCTGCTTTCTTCTCCTTCTTGCTCTTGCTCCTGGCCCTTCTTGCTCTCCCTTCTTGCTCTTGCTGCCTGACGGCCAAGCCTCAAAAGGTTCAGCTGCCAAGGCTCGAAAAAAGCGGCTTCGCCACACTCAAACAGCATGGCAGTGAAGGACGGAACTGGCCCCCGGGCGACGGCCTGTACTGTCTAACCTTGCTTGCTGAAGCTACAAGAAAATAGCTATCTTTTTGCTTTTGCTGCTGCTTTCTCCTGCCTTCTTGCTTTTGCTCCTTTTCCTGCACTGCTAGCTGCCAACTTGCTTGCTTGCTCTTGCAGCTGGCTTTCTTCTTGCACGAGTCTAGTGAAAGGAACGTGTCGCAGGGCCAAAACACCATGGAACTGCCTTCGGCCTGCGCCATGCCACTTCCCTTTTGCACCTTTCTTCTTGCCCTTTGCTTCTTCTTCCCGGTTTTTTGTCTCTTGCCTGTTGCCTCGTGTTCATGTTCCAAGCTTCTATCGGCCCTTGCTGCTTGTAATCTCTTCTCTGACGCGCTCCCCCTGCCGTCGGCTGGGGTCGGCGGGTCGGCGGATAATGAAGTGGGCATTCCGATGGAGATGGTTTCGACATGTTTTGACCGTCCATAGCCTACTCAAGCAGACTATTTCTGCCAGTTTAGCCAAGAGACCAAGGTAAACGCGCTGGATATGACTTGGGGAGATCATCAAAGGCTGGATGAACTTGATTTCTGTATAATTACCAAGGAAACTGAAGAAAACTAGTTTGTGCATATCCAGTTTTCATAAATTCCTCCCCGCCCTCAAGTATAATTATTGCAGTTTGCACTGCTGATAAGGCATTTCCATTGCAAGATGATACTGGTGGTGTTGAAAGATCTGAGAGGATAGCATGGGGTTCCAACTTCACTTAGTAGCCGCAACCCGACTTGATTGGTCCTCTTGCAGAAACGGTGCGAAGGTTTTCATCAAGAATGTGTCAGATCTGCCGAGTGAGCTCCAGCAACGTTTCACCTTTGTTGAGGTCGATGCTATAGATTGATTTCGGTGGGAACAACCCGCGCTGCTTCTGCGTATTCATTTTGGAGGAGTGTTTGGTCATAAGTGAAAGCGTGACAAGAATTTGTTTGCAGACTCATTCATTCCGAGTTGGAGAGTCATTTTCTACAGACCATTCATTGCCACTGATGACAGAAACATTTTGGTTCGAACCCCGCATGATCGAACAGAGAGATCTTGCTAAAATGTCTAGTTTTGTTTTGCTTGCTTTGTTGTTGCAAACCACCAACGTGTTTGCCGGCCCATGCATTGATGGTCACCGATTTTGCCCACACTGGGCCAACATGGGAGCGTGCCAAGCGAACCGGGAATACATGGCAAGGCACTGTGCGAAGTCTTGTGGTTGTGAGCGCATCAATCCGCCCTCGGATGAGACTACCACCACAGAGACCACGGCACAGACGACAGCCACAACGGTCACCACGACAATTGCAGAGACCTCCAAGGCCTCCACAAGCGAGTCGAGCGGAACCACAGATGACTCTGAAGAGACCACAGCAACGGTCACAGAGGCAGCACCAAAAACAGAGGCATCAACTTCTCCGTCAGTTTTGCCATCAACTACAGAGGTGGTGAGCACGAGGCGTGGAACCAAAGGACTTTATTTATCTATAATTCTAGTTTAGATTGATTTATGTTTGTTTACAGTCCACCCTTTTTGGATCTTTTTCGCATGTGCAACCGAAACAGACCTCTGACACGGCCAACAGATGCTAACAGCATGTTGGATAAAGTAGACTCAGAGATGCATTCTGGGCGTGAAGATGTGCATGGGGCAACGACACTTCTGACGAGGCCCCCGTCACCAGCGCCAACATGTAGCCAGTACCAGAGGAAGGCGAGGTGCTGTAGTCCGAAAAGCATCAAAGAGCCAATTTGCCCTGATAAAGACACCGAACATGCACAGATTGAAGAAGAAGGCAAAGATTTGGCGATCTTAATCTTGGATAATCTTGGATAATTGTAAAAAATAGCGCTAGTGCAAAAAAGGCTGTATAGGATTGTAATGGATTGTACAATACGCATAATTGTTCAGCTCTGTTTTCCATAGTTCCACCCTTTTGCTGATTATTGCTGTTTTCCTGGCAGGAAAATACAGACCTTGCCGGCGTCATGTTGGTCAAGGTGCGAGCTTGGAGCTTCGATGCTTGCTGCAGCAACTTGCCTGTAATCCGTTGTAATTTGTGATATAAATATCGATATGTGAGCCCATGTATATTATTTATATATTAAGACTAATTGCTTTTGACTCCGTTTTTTGTTGTCTTTGGGACCAGTATGTAAGAAGAACTGAACCTAACACTGTATTGTGAACACCACCCCATAGTATCTCACGGTTCTTCACTTGTGTGCTTGATCATGCGCAGAACAAGATGCTTCATCCACCATGAAGCTTGCTGCAGGACTTTGTAAGCATAAATTACTTTCAAAACCCTGAGTAGGAATATCTTGCAGTCACAGGTTTGCCAGGTTCAAGTAAGTACTTTTCCTCAAGTTTCTGATCACACGTCCCAACCAAAGATAAAAGCCTTTCATCAAAACCTGCTGTAGACCATGCTGTAAGACCGTTGAATGCAGCTGAGGCAAATGTGATGCAACAGACGGATGCGATGGTTTTTCTTTCTATCGGCGTATGTGTTACCTGAAAGCAAATTTGCAGGGAACATTTCCGAAGGCTTCTCGCACAACATTCATTCGCAAACAACCTGTGCGACCAGGGCAATGTTCTGCTTTTGCCCAGACGCAGGCAAATTCTGATTTGGCAGGAATCTTGGTGAAGCCTCCACTGTTCGCAGTAGAACAGGAAGATTGCTGCCACGCATGCGCCACAGTACCCGAATGTGAAGGATTTTCGTACTATCGTAATTTTTGTTACCTCAAAGGCAAGTTGCAGGGCACGTATCCAAAATCGGGCTGCAAAGTTCAAGTGAAAAGTTCAGCACGTCGATTGCTTGGGGATGAACACTCTCCAGGATTGTGGGTGTAAATGCTCCTTACTGCGCAGTGTGAGTCCAAAGCTATGCCAAAACAAGGTGCTGTCCACAGCTGCGTTCTGCATGATTCTTACACCTCATGGTCCAATTTTGAGTCACCTACCCATGGCCCGATGGCTTCTACTTTTGACGGGCATAATTCATCGCACACTTGGAGTCGATTCCAGAATGTGCGTTTGCTTTTGTGGGCAGTAATTTCTGTTCCAGAATCCGAACAGCTAGAAATGTTGGCATGATGTGGATAAATGCAGCGCCTTTTTGGTATGTACTTGAAAGATCTTGAAAGATTCTGGAACTGAATCTTGCCGTGTCCATTTTGTTGGTCCACTTGTACAGTGTGGACTGAGAAAAACAAAATACAAACAAATCCTATACTCAGATGATACCTAGTCATTTGATGGAATTTTGGGTTTTGGCCTACATTGCAAAATAGTAATGTCACGTGCCAAACTCCCAATGGGGAAATCCCTGTTCGGGACTAATCTGGCGCTGTTGGACACCTTTCACTGCTTTGAAAGAAAGAATTGAGCAGTTAAAAAATGTAGGGCAATATTTTCCGGCTTAAATTGGATATTGAATAGTATTCGCAAAAGGAAGCTTCGCGAAGACAAAATTAATTGATATTGTCCAATTTTCTGTGATTTATTTATACCAAGGGAGCCGTGGACCTGCAAAATTGTAGGATTATTGAAAAAAACGGAGTTTGTTTATGAAAAAATATAGGTATTTATTTAAAAAAAAATAAAATTGAATTTTTCATAATTTATCGGTTTGTATTTGCCTTGTTATTTTTATTAAATTCATAAAGAAAGGTTATAAGGGATTATATAATTAAATTTAATAGTTAAATAATATATTATATTGATAATAATACATAATAATTATATAATTAATTATATTGATTTTTATTATTTAAATAAAATATTTATAATATAATAATTTAAATTTAATTAATTATATTTGTTTTAAAATAATAAATTTTAATAAAATAATTTTTTAATAATTATAATTATTATTTTAATAATTAAAAATATTAAATATATTTAATTTTTAATATTATTATTATTATATATATATTATTTTTTTAATATATATGGGTATAAATATAAAATCTTATAATATCTTATATATAAAAATATATATATTATGTTTATTTTATTATATGTTTAATTATTTTTGCAAAAGGGTTTATGTACATGTATGTATAACTGGACAGATGTAGTATTAGTTCTTATTACTGTTGGACAGGTGAAGTATCTGTTCTTATTAGTGCAACAACTGCCTGTGATTGCGTAGGCTTTTTATGGATCAAAAGTCGCGCTGCTCTGCTTAACACAGGTTATGAGCCCAACGCTCAGCTGAAGGGGCGTTTGCCATGTCGTGGTCTAGAGCGAATTCGGTGCCAACTGGTAGAGGTGGACCTCGAGGTCTACGGCTGGATCAAGAAGGCCAACTAGGGCATGGAGGTGAACGAGCTGGACATGACGGCAGAGACCTTCAGCATGGAGATGGAAGAGTTCTACCAAATGGCAGTGATGGACGAGATGAAGGTCGAGCTCTACTGCGAGGCGAACATGGAGGGGCTCTACGGCAAGAACTGGACGTGAGTACTGACCTGTTGGACTTAGGCACCGAGCCGAATCCGTGGTGGTCAGAGGTGGTTTAACGAGAATACCTACAAGAAGTACGTCAGTTGGCCATGGAGCAGCCGATATGGACGCCAAGGGAAGAGGACTCAGTCAAGGAAGACCTTCCAGAGATAGAAGATACAGACGCGTCGCGAGAGTTGGAGCCGCTGGCAATGGGACGAATGAGTGCTCCGTTAAGTTGGAGTACAAGACGAGGTGTGGCCTTGCAGACTCAAGGGGCTATGCTATCAAATGATGATGAAGACCTTCGGCATCCTCAAGATGTTGGACAAGGTCAACATGCTGTATAGATTCAAGGTGTAGACCTTCGACATCCTCAAGATGTTGGACAAGGTCGACATGCAGTACACCCTCAAGGTGTGGACCGACAGTATCCTCAAGATGCTGGACAAGGTCAAGACCTTCGATATCCTTAAGATGCTGGACAAGGTCACCGTGAAGTACACCCTCAAGGTATGGACCGATAATATCCTCAAGAT